AGCCGGGCTGGGACTCACGCCTGGAAACCTACACGGAGACTCCCTGATCTTTACAGCCTGACGGCCAGCAGGGATGGCTCCAAACTGGTCTCTGCTACGGCAGTGGCTGGAACTATACTAGGCAAGAAGGCCAGAGCCCAGGGCGGCAACGTGGCTTGCGGTAGCTGGTTCAGGCATTTCTGAGGGACTTATTAGCTCAGTTGCTCTGGGATATAGCTCAGTGGACCAGGGTTGGAGTTCAAGTGTGGCTCTTACATGATGTGTGCTGAGTGCTCTGGGGCTGTGGGGGAGATCAGTCTTGGGGGGAAGGAGAGCCACAGTTTCCGTTCTTTGCTGTGCTGGTTATTTTTAAGCAAAACCTCTTTGATCTGAGGTTCATTAGCATCTTCTGCTCCCTCAAATCAATCTTCTTTTTCATGTGGGGATTTTGAGTCATTTTTGTACTTCCTCTTTCAAAGTTCCATAAACTCCGATAAATAATAATTCTGATTGCTGCTCTTGGGGAGACTTTCGCTGCCCCCGACCTGAACGCTGTTCACGGCTCTTCATCCTGGCCGGGCTCTGGGAGCTGCCCGGTGGACTTCCTGACCCCCAAGTGGAGGGGCTGCGGTGGTCCTCTAGGCAAGAGTGTTCACCAAACAGTCACTGCCTCACTGAACAGCACACTCTTCGGAAAGGACTCGTATACGTGTATCTGATAGCTACATGCTGCACGTGATCTTTGTGTATCCACTGGACAAGCAGCTGGGTGTGACGCGGGTGGACCCCAAGCTGATGATGTCTTTCCGGGACACAGCCTCGCGGTCACAGCAGGGAGGAGGGGAGACGAGCAAGCTCCCCTAGACGTGCACAGCGGACTCAGGCCATGCGACCCACTGGTTCAGGGTACCAGCTAAATTAGGCAACGAGACAAGGAAAGGTACTATTCAGAGGAAAACATTGGGTATAAGATTGTTGGGGAAATAATTCAAGCCAAAGAGTTAAGCCAAACTATAGCCTTAAAGAGAGGACTGGGCCCTGGCCAGGCGGCTCAGTTGGTTGGAGCGTCTCGGCAGGGCACACACCTAGACTGCAGGTTCGATCCCTGGTGGGCTCACATCAATGTTCTTTTCTCTCCTTCTTCCTTCCTCTCTCTCTAATATCAATAGAAGCATGCTCTCTGGTGATAAAAAGAGGGTTGGTTCAGCACATTAACAGACAAAAAGTAGGCCCCAAAGCAACATAAACACCCAAACGGTTAAAAGTGCCGACTCTGGATGGATCTTCTCTCTCCCGAGAAGGAGTTCAGAGGAACATTTACTCTGCAGAGGAAGGGAAAGAAAAGCGTCGTAAAGATGCAGACAAATCTGCCTTGGAAAATTCTGATTGCAAGTCTTCAGGAAAGTGTGCAGTTGGTCTTCCCATCTGTTCAGAAGTCACGTCTTCCGGTTGGAAGGCTTTCAAAGACTCTTGGGCAGAAAGTGACATGTTCACACTCCCTCCTTCTCCTGTACACGTGGCAGAACCTGACTTCCTACTTCCCAGCTTCCCTTGCCGCTAGGTTGGGATAGTCACTAACCTCACGTTGGAATGTGTGTCAACAGTGTGTCACTGGGAGGTCGCCGAGAACATGTGTGCCTTCCCTGTGCTCTCTCGTCCCCTTTTGCAGCAACCGTTGAGTCTGTGCTCTGGATGTCATTGTCTTAAGATGAAGAAGAGCCACCCAACCAGCACTGGACTTGCCACAGATTTCACTGTGTTGACCCACGGAGATGAAAGAGTTGATTTGTTACTGAAACATGGCCCAATCTAAGCTGACCAATACAGAACAAAAACAAGACACAAAAACCCACAATAGATGTCAAAAGCAGGTTGATTAGGTAATCAGTATGATAGACGATCTATCAGTACAACAATCGGTTACATAAGACAGAGGATAAAACAACTGTGAACTGGATAGAGGTTCAAAAGCATTTGATAAAAATCCAAATACTATTCCAAACGGGAAAATTTAGTCATTAAGATCAAATACCTTAAACTAAAAGCCATTTCTCTTACGAATGAGCCATGGGAGCTGTCTTAGCTGCATAGTCACAAACGAGAAAGGGGCACCTGCCAGCACCTCCACTCATACTGCTAAAGCCTGGGCAAGTGGAAGAGAAGCAAAGGGAACTAAAGGTGTAAATATGGAGAGAAGGAGGCATCCTCATGGGCAGATTATTTGCCTGGAAAAACTAAGAGACTCAACCGAGAAAAACTGAGTAAAATTTTGAAAGAGGAATACAACAAGAATTTTATAAGACAGGCCATTACAAAAAATAGATTTCATAAGACCTCTGTTTTTAATTCATATTTTCGAAAACTCGATAGAAAAGTAGGGAGGGAAAATCCCATTCATAACATCAACAAAAATCTGAGTGGGAGACTTAAACACAAATTACAGGACTTTTAGGAGAATTACAGAGCTTCAACAACAACTTGAGTAAGTGGAGACATCCTATATTTCTGGATAGGAAAATCCAACATTCCTCTACCAATTAGTTCATGTATCTAATAAATTACGAACAAATGTTCGTAAAATCAACATTCCTCTACTAATTAGTTCATGTATCTAATAAATTACGAACAAACGTTCTAAAGAAGTTTGAGGAATCTGACACATTCTGAAAATCTTCATTTAGGTATAGAAGACTGCTAACATTTGAAAAGACATCGCGAGGTAATAAAGCAGTAGGCATTGGCTTTGCAAACACCTCCCACTTAGTTGGCTGACTTCGTGTTTCTTTGGTGGTTTATTTTGCTGTGCAGAAACTGTTAGTTTGATGGAGTCTCATTCATTTATTTTTGCTTTTTCTCCCCTTGCCTTTGGGTTCACAATAACCAAGGTTCATAAGTTTAGTACCTATGTGTTCTATTTATTTTATAGTTTCAGGTGTTATATTTAAGTCTTTAATCCATTTTTTGAAGTATGTTTTTACTGATTTTTTTTTTGGAGAGGAAGGGAGATAGAGAAACACGGATGTGAGATAGAAACATCGATTGGCTGCCTCCTGCACAACCCCTTCTGGGGATTGAGCCTGAAACCTGGGCATGTGCCCTGACGGGGATCGGATCTCTTGGTGCACAGGGCTATGCTTAATCCCTTCACCTTTTTCACCCAGTCCCCAGCCCCTCCTGACAGCTGTCCGTCTGTTCTCTGTATCTACACATCTGTTTCTGTTCTCACTGTTCATTCTCTCTTGCCAGAGTTCTGTGCAGGGGAGCAGAGCAGCAGGCAGCAGCCGGAGGACGCGGGCCGAGATCTAACCAGGAGGAAGCAACAGCACATCAGTACGCTGATAAGACCGATCCACTTGAAGGAGGAAAATGCGAGGTCGCAGGAAAGGACAGGAAGCCGTGTTCTCAGAAAGGTAAAGCGGGGCCTGAACCCAGCTCACCAGGAGAGCATGGGTTCCGAGGAGCAGGAGGAGAGCAGGTCACATGGTCGGGCTGGGAGTGGAGGCCTGTGCGCGTCTGTCTCCCCAGGGAGACGAGGCCACCAGCTGGGGCAGTTCAGAATGGACAGATGGCCCAGGGACACGCACGACGGCGGCCAGCAGCACGAGGCCCGCAGCACGAGGGGAGCAGTCCTGGAGCTTCTCCCTGGCCTGCTGCTGTTTGCGGGTGCAGGGGCGCAGTGGGCTGGCTTCACCAGCGTTGTATGTTGCCCGGCAAGTACATCAAGGCAAGGGAGGGAGAGGAACCGGAAGGTGGCACAAAGGAGCCATTTGAAGGCTGGACTATGGACTCCAAGCTGGGTGTGGCTATAGTACAGGGGTCACATAGGTGAATGTCCTGACACTTAGAAAACAAGCTCAGGTATTCAGAGGTCAAAGGTCATGATGGCCCAACTAACTTCCAGATGGTTCACCCCCAAAAAGGTGCGTGGTATAGATACACATGCAAACTTACATACACACACACAACCAAAGTGTTAACTGTCGAACGTGGTTGGAGATGCATGGGTGTTCAACTTTCCACGCCTCTGAAGCTCTTCAGTTTCAGAAGTGGGGGAAAGCATGAAGCTTTTAAATAACTTTATGAAATGGAGAGTTGAAAAGGCAGTTGTTTTAAATTGTTAAATAGATGTGTTCCACTGGGTTCATAGATGTAAGTTTACATGTATTTCATCGTCATGCCTACAAGTTTACATGTTCAAACTGGGGACACAGTAACACTGGAAAGTGAATAAAGAGCAAACCAAGCACAACAGCTGGAGACAGAGCTAAGACATGGCTGGTGGGGCAGGGGACCCTTGGTGGGGGAGGGGTGGGGGTGGTAGAGAGTAGAGAACAAAGTCCTCAAATGACATGTGTAACTTTTTAAAGAATCCAATGGAAAGAACTGCTTCACTTTGTATCTTTGCTCCTACTGACCCCTCGTTTCTTATTTCCTACTGTTTTAACGGTTCACTCGACATTGGCAGAAATGAACCGAGGTGGACCATCGGGCAGCCATGCGGGGTGGGCAGCAGCAGGCTGGCAGCTGTTCGTAGGGAAACTGATACAATAATAAAGGAATAAGTGCTTCGTGTGCTCACAGTTGTGACCCTGCTTTGCCTGCCTGTACATAGGTACACAGCTTTGCTTCTTACCGGGCACACATCTGTTAATGAGAACGTCCACTCGTCTCCTTTGTAGGTATAATCTCAAAGAGGAGAAATAAAACCCAAATTGTAAAATGCTCTGCTCTAATTAGATGTGGAAATTAAACGAGCAGTCTTAACGACGGCTCCTCATCAGAGAAAAGCGCACCGCATATTCTATCTACGAACAAAAATGCAATGCGCCCCTGGTGTTCGACAGGACGGAACGTCCGCGCGACAGGTCAGTCAGCTTGCGACTGGCTGAAAGGTGACCGGCTGCGAATGGCATGCGGGATGGGATGCTGCTGAACTCGGTTTCTGAAGTGGAAAGAACTTAAATCTGTGTTCGGAGGAACACATCTGTATGTTCTCCTTGAAAGAACAGAGGAGGCGACGGTTAATAAAGACAAGTGTTCAGATTTATTGGAAATTCACAGTTTCTAACGGCGCTCCAGCTCCGTGCAACGGGGCGCCCGCTCCGCACCTCGCCGGCGCTGGCGGGCCTGGCTCCGCTCGCTCTGCTGGCTGTGCAATCGGACCTCCTCCTCCGAATGGCTAATTGTACAGACTGGAAGAATGTCAATCACCCAAAACACACTGGTACTCTAAAGCAGCAACTTAAACAAAAAAGGCTTTAAATACGTCACATTACAAACAATACCCCCAGAAAGGTATGAGACAAGTTTAAACACAGTTACTACTAAAAGTGCTCAATAAGTTATAACTTAAGTCTGACAACACAAAATGGTCAACTCGCTCCCTTTCAAAAAGAAACTTTCCACTTTCACTCATTACTACAAACACACACAAATACAGTCGCTGCCAAATAAGGACATAGAGGACAGGTGAGGACAGACACGCACAGCACACGCGCTCCTCTGCACATCTGTAGCCGACACAGGCCAACACCAGGGACGAGGAAGCCCTGCACCCGGCCAGTTGAGCGGGTTCGGAGACTCACTGCCAGGCCACACGTCCACGGGCAGTGACTGCGTCCCGAGGGACCTGGACTCACTGGAGAAAGCTTCACATTTTCTATTTGTAGCAAGTGGAAGTCTGCAGGGTTGGTGCTTACTGTGAATGTTTAAACGGTAATGTAGCTACTGAAAACCTTTACAAGTAGTTACACGTGTTTAAAAGGTGAACGTATAAAAGATTTGCAAATACCAATCATTTGTAAGAAAAGATCTTGCAGCTTTGTTTCCCTCGTTGAATCAATAACTACAGAAAACTAGTGTGAATAAGTTAAATGAAAGGACAGTATCACCGTTCACCTAGACACGGACCTGGAAACTCCCGAGAGCTCATTTCCGGTGAGTCTGCCAAGCAGCGTCTACTTGGCGAGTCTGCAGGCCCTTCACACTGACCAACCCACTCACTGAGCCCAGGAGCAGATCACCTTAAAGCCTTGTAGTGTTTGCAGCTTCAAAAGACTAACGAAGTTACTAAAGAAATCAAATGACAGGAAAAGTCCCCTCCTCTTCCAGTGGCATTATAAATAGACAAAAGGCACGTAAATATGGAAGGTGCAAGAAACAGGAACAAAGCTACGGGAAGAGGTTCAGGCGTCCATTCCTACCCCACCCAAGGAACTAGGCCTCCACACTACCAGGATTAACCTGTGGAAACACCTTTAGAAAACGTCCACCACGTCCTTACAGGAAGGAATCAGCCTTGCAGAACTGCAGCTCATTGACCAAGACTGACGGACACAATCCCACTTACCTTTAAAAAGGCAGAAACCATAAATTCTGAATACTTTTCCCATTAATATTTCTCCCTCCCCCAAACCCTTCAAATACCACAAACTGTTCTTCAAAGAACAACAGAAAGTCTCCAGTATGAAAGTTCGATTATTCTAGATGTGGCCCGAGACTGCCGTCACCCCAAATGTCCCCACGGCGAGCTCCTTGTTGCCTTTGATGATGTCATGCAGGCTCGGCAAGGACCCTGACTTAGTCTGTATCAGCGTCTTTATCAGCTTTCCTTGGTCTTGGACTTTGGAGCGCCTTCGTTTCAAAGCCCTCTTCTCAGTTTTTGTCTTTTGGGACTGTCCACTGCACAGAGTCGTGCAAGCTGAAATGCCACAGAAATAAGACTCTTCAGACTGTGAGGAAGTTTCTGAGCTCCCCTCCGAGGGCGGGCCCTTGTGCGAGGAGTGATACACTTCTCCCACGTGAGCAAAGTCCCTCTGGTTCGTGAAGGGCTTCCTTCCTTTTATGTCTCCATTGGCTACAGGGTGCAGCGGGTCTGCCGGCTTTAGGGTCTCAATTTTTTCTGTTTTGTACTTGCAGCGTTTCTTCTACAACAGGAGTGAAAGAAGAGCAGGCATTAGACCTCCAGCAGTGAGGCCTCAGCAAACACCTGGAGAGCTGAGCGCGTGGAGGAGCCGCGCCACCTCCTGGTGGGAGCGAGACAGCGCTCTGCTCTGGAAGACATCTGCACTGCCTTCCTGTTTAGCCAACACCACTCAGTCAAAGCTCTCCCCACCACCTCTGAAGACAGATTTGGGGGTGCTAACTGAATACCTAGGATGCACCAGATATACTACTTGTTTTCATGTGTATCATACCAACCCTGAAAGGTGAGGATTTTATCCCTGGTTTTGGGTCTCTGCCCAACGTACAACATCCTGAGTGGCCAAGTCGCAAATGAATCCGTCTGTTCGACTCTAGAGCCCAGGTTCTTCACCTACAAACCCTCTAATCAACATGAGCACAACTGACTTTGAGAAGCAAATGGGAAAAGCACAGGCTTTGGGACCAGAACTGCCTGCTTTCCCTCAGAGTCCGCCACCCACTGGATGGGTCACATAGAGACAAACTCTGAGTTTCAGTTCTCTCACTTAAAACACGAGGCTGCGCCCTCGTCAGGTGGTTCAGTTGGCTGGAGCACCATCCCGTACACCAAAAAGTTTCAGGTCCTATTTCTGCTTATGGTTTGTTTGGTCCCCAGTTGGGGCAGGTATGGGGGGCAATTGATCAATGTTTCTCTTTCACATCGATGCTTCTCTCTCTCTCCCTTCCCCTCTCTCTAAAATCAATAAAAAGCATAGCTGAGAGAGGACTCAAAAGACATGATGAGATGAAGCACAGCAGGAGGCTGCTGGGGGCGCTGCACCTGCACCGGTCAGGGACCACACTGCCCAGGGGCACTGCACCTGCACCGGTCAGGGACCACACTGCCCGGGGGCACTGCACCTGCACCGGTCAGGGACCACACTGCCCGGGGGCGCTACACCTGCACCGGTCAGGGACCACACTGCCCGGGGGCGCTACACCTGCACCGGTCAGGGACCACACTGCCCGGGGGCGCTACACCTGCACCGGTCAGGGACCACACTGCCCGGGGGCGCTGCACCTGCACCGGTCAGGGACCACACTGCCCGGGGGCGCTGCACCTGCACCGGTCAGGGACACACTGCCCGGGGGCGCTGCACCTGCACCGGTCAGGGACCACACTGCCCGGGGGCGCTGCACCTGCACCGGTCAGGGACCACACTGCCCGGGGGCGCTGCACCTGCACCGGTCAGGGACCACACTGCCCGGGGGCGCTGCACCTGCACCGGTCAGGGACCACACTGCCCGGGGGCGCTGCACCTGCACCGGTCAGGGACCACACTGCCCGGGGGCGCTGCACCTGCACCGGTCAGGGGACCACACTGCCCGGGGGCGCTACACCTGCACCGGCAGGGACCACACTGCCCGGGGGGCGCTGCACCTGCAACCGGTCAGGGACCACACTGCCCGGGGGCGCTGCACCTGCACCGGTCAGGACCACACTGCCCGGGGGCGCTACACCTGCACCGGTCAGGGACCACACTGCCCGGGGGCGCTACACCTGCACCGGTCAGGGACCACACTGCCCGGGGGCGCTGCACCTGCACCGGTCAGGGACCACACTGCCCGGGGGCGCTGCACCTGCACCGGTCAGGGACCACACTGCCCGGGGGCGCTGCACCTGCACCGGTCAGGGACCACACTGCCCGGGGGCGCTGCACCTGCACCGGTCAGGGACCACAGCAGGCACCGCAGGCTCTCACAGCAGTGACAAAGCTGTGCGGGTCGGCTGTGTCCCCGCAGATTCCTTTCCATTTTAGTCCTTTACAAACGGCTCTGGGTTCGCACGAAACCTGCCACAGGCCAGATATGGCTTGCGGATCAGTCTGCTGACCTCTGCAAACACGGACTTTTATCATTACCATGACTGAAAAGAAACAGCAAGTTCAAGGACCATTTACTTAAAGGTTGTATTAAACCTTTCACCCTATTTCTCCCTCTACTACCATATAACCCACCAATACATGTAAAAAGAAACAAAGTATTACCTTTTTTTCTGGCGAGAACTTGAGAGGCTCTACAATGTACAAAGCATTTGGGTCTACTGTGAGTAAGAAAAACAAAAAGCAGATGTAAAGTACATTAGGCTATGATTAAACAAACAATGATAGTATCCCTTAGGGATTTTTCCTAACAGAAGCAACACATTTATATTTACACCAGGTTAACCATTCCTTAAGCACTTTAAGTTAGTAAGCCAAGAATAACAAGCTGGGAGCGAGGGGGGAGATGGCTCCATTCTTATTTCGGGCTTGGTCACCTTCAAACACCTTCCATCGTCTTCAACTACCAGCTGGCTGCCGGTCAACGCAGCCAGGACCCTTCTCAGGGCTCACTCCTACCCTCTTATCTGATGAGAAATAGTATCTCCAGTGTGCTAATACCAAACCTACAGGTCAGGTCATCAGAGTATTTTCTGAAAGACTACACTCAACACTGTGCACAGATGTGGGTCAACACTGTGCAACAAGAGCTGTGACCACGTATGAAAGTCAGAGGCACACAGACACAAAACCAGATCTAAGGCTTTTCCCCCTTATTGTTTGTTACTCTGTTTTACTATAATAAAAACTATGAGCCCTGGCTGGTTTGGCTCAGAGGTTAGAGTGTCAGCCCTGCGGACCAGAGAGTTCCGGTTCGGTTCCCGCTAAGGGCACGTACCTCGGTTGCAGTTTGTCCCCGGCCCCATGGGGTTGTGTGGGTGGCAGCCAGTTGATGTGTCTCTCTCACATCGATGTATCTCTCTCTCTTCCTCCCTCTCTCCTTCCCGCTCTGTCTGAAGATAAATGCAAAAGTGTCCTCAGGTGAGGATTAAAAAAATAAAACAAACAAACAAAAAAACACTGTGAACTCTGAAGCCTAAAAATAGCTTGAACATACAATATAAAATGACCAAACAATGATGCAGGAACACTTCTGGCATGGTGAGTAAACCAGAAACATTAGATTTAGGTTTCTAAAACTTCATTACTTTAAAGCACATTCAAGACAGCCCTATGCCACCCACACAGACGTGACCAACGTGCGAACACAACACTTGGGTTCCACGGAACAACTGAGAGTCCGTGATCTGTGGTATGACAGAGGCAGAAGTGTGTAAACGGAAAATTCACTATAAAACTTCAGATACCAGAAATGTATTAATAACATGATTCAACCAATTGCATTTGACATTATGCCAAAAAAATTTGTTGAGAAATATATAAAAATACCCAACCATTTCTCCAAATAGTAATTTCTATCAGATTACTAACCTCACTCAAAAAATATTTTTTCAACATTATGTCTCCTTGTGGAATGGGTGTTAGCATTATTCAGATCAACTTCTCCAATGACAGAAACTAAATCTGATGAATTTTTTTAATCACTAAAAGCATCAAAAGCTGCCGAGATAAGCAAGCAATCCCCAGGCCCAAATCAAAGGGAAAGTAGGAATCTAAAAAGTCAAGTGGACACAAAAGTCATTTCCGTCCAGAGAGCTCTGACCAATGCAAGAACATGTGCACTTCGGTTCCGAAGGCAGCCTGAGGGATACACCAGAAATCAAACCTCAGGGCCCACTCAAAGCAGTAGTTTGTAAGAACCCCTCCAGCTCCCCAGCACTACGATGGGACTCCAAGGACTAGACCCTCAGGGAAAGAATAAAGCCATGCAGGGACTGGGGGTCCAATCCCCATCACTGGGCTGGAAGTCAACAAACCTCCAGCCGTGAATGTCAAGTTTTCCTGAATGTAAAGCAAACACAAATTCTCTTGGAACCTGGACCTACACCCTACCCCTCAAACTGTCCCTACGAATAATCTTTCAAAGAGAAGGACCAGCACACAGATAACCATGCACACAAAGCTACAAAGCACCTTGAGCAAGAGTTTGCAAAGACAACTAATGAACACATTTTTAAAAATTTCAGATATTAGAACTATCAAACATAGACTATAAATACAGTTACACATACTATACGAAATAAAAAACAAGCTTGAAAATATCTTCAAGAAACAAAAGAAAAAGACCTTGATGTTTAACAAAATACTGAAAGAAATCCTAGAAATGGAAAACAACTGAAATTTAAAAGACAGGGGATGAATTTAATTGCAGACTACAGATAGCTGAAGAATGTATGACCTGGAAAACAAATCAGAAGAATTCATCCAAAATACAGCACAGACAAGCAAAAGGATGGGGAAATCAGGGGAGTTTAGGAGACAAAGGGGACACAGAGAGAAAGACTAACACATTTAATTAAATGGAAATTCTAAAACAAATACAAACAAAAAAATGAGGCAGAGGCAGTATTTTAGGGGAAAAATAATAGCTAAGAATTTCCAGTATGATAAAAGATACCAATTCATAGATTAAGGAGCCCAAAAAATTTAAACAGGAATTTAAATAAAAGATGTGCCTATATTCACAGAAAATCCGAAATAACCTACACATGATTAAAAGGCATAAAATGCTCAACCTCATTAGTAATCAGGTAAATGCAAATTACAACTGCCGTGAGGTTAGCAAACTTTAAAACGTGACAATTCTCAGTGTTTGTTGGCAAGAAAGTGGGCTATTGGACATTCTCACAGCACTGGTGGAAACATAAACTGTGATGCCTACTTTGGAAAAGTTTGCAATACCTTGTAATGTAGACAAGCACACCCTACAACCCAGCGATTTCACGTCTGGGTAATATTCCTAGAGAAACTCATGCAACTATGTTCCAGTATACAAACAAAGGAATGCTTACAGCAGTATTTTTTATAATAGCTCCAAACTCTAAGCAACAGGAAAATAGATAAATACAGTGTGATTTAGTCAGTTACTGAAATACTATACAATATTGAAAATGTAATGCAATCACGTATGTGAATCTTACAAATAGAATGCTGAAGGAAAGAAGACAAGACAGGATAAATACAGGGTGGGCAAAAGAGGTTTACAGTTGTGAGTATGCATAGCTTATTCTTGTATTATTATTATTTATTCTTGTATTTATTACATATTTTTCCAAACAAGTAACTGTAACTTCCTTTTGCCAACCTCTGCATGATATGATTCCATCTATCAAAAGCTCAAAACTAGGCAAGACTAAAATTATATTGTTAAGGAATACAAACAAGGATAATAAAACTATTAAGAAAATATATGATTATTTCAAAAGTCAAGATAGTCACCTGTGGGAGGAGCAATACCAAGAGAGATGGCCTTGTTCTACTTCCTGATCTGGGTGTTAGTTACACAGATGATCACTTCATAATTACTTGATGAGTTGTATAATTTAGTTTTATGAACTTTTTAAATATATCAGTTATATTTCACAATAAAATGTGTCACAAAAATCAAAACAATTTTGGTCCACTGGGCAGTCAACGTAAGTGACAGGACTGCAAATCAAAGTATAAACTTGAAGAGGAGAAAGAGGAAGACACTAAGAGAAGGAGGTATTTATAATAAATTAAACAATTTAGTTCACAACATGAATCATCTAAGTCCAATCATTACATAATTTCAAATGCTTACTAAAACAAGAAATTATGTAATTTTCCAATTCTGTACTGTAAATCAACTTTGTATAAAGTACTAAGCATTATATAAAAATAAAACATGGGACATTACAACCAATGCCATAGAAATAAAAAGATTTTAAGAGACTACTAAGAACAACTGCACTCCAACAAACTGGAAACCTAGAAGAAATGGATTAAATTCCTAGAAACATGCTTATCAAGCATGAGTCATAAAAAAATAAAAAATATGAACAGATTAACAACAATGAAGGAGACTGAATTAGTAATCAAAAACCTTCCAATAAACAAAAGCACAGAACCAGATGGCACCATCAGAGAATTCTACCAAACATTTAAAAGAGAATTAACACCAATCCTCCTGAAATGCTTCTGAATATTTGAAGAGGAGGAAACACTTCTAAGCTCCTTCTATGAAGCCAGCACTATCATGATACCAAGGCCAGACAAAGGCACTACAAGAAAATATAGAACAATATCCTTGATGAATGGTGATACAAAAATCAACAAAATACTAGCAAACTAAATTCAACAACACATTAAAAAAGGATTACATTATGACCAAATGAGATTTATTCCTAGAATACAAGGATGATTCAACATATGAAAATCGATCAATGTAATACACCACATTAACAGAATAAAGGACAAAAACTACATGATCATCTCAATTGATCCAGAAAAAGCATGACAAGATTCAACACCCTTTCATAATAAAAATACTCAATAAATTAGCAACAGAAGGAAACTACCTGAACATATCAAAAAAAAAACTTAAGAAAAGCCCACAGCTAACATAATACTCAATGGTGCAGGGTTGGAAGCTTTTCCTCTAAAATTACAAACAAGGCAAGGATATCTGCTTTCATCATTTCTATTCCACACAGTATAGAAAGCCTAGCCATAGCAATAAGGCAAGAAAAGGGAATAGAAGTTGGAATAAAGGAAGCAAAATTATTTCTGTTCAGAGATGACATAATCTTATATATAGAAAACCCTAAAAATTTCACAAAACACTATTAGAATAAATGAACTCAGCATAGAGTTGCAGGATACAAAATCAACACACAAAAATCAGTTGCATTTCTACACAGTAACTAACAATGAACAATCCATAAAGGAAATTAAGAAAACAATTCCATTTATAATAGTATCAGAGAGAATAAAATACTTAGGAAAAAGCCTAACTAAGGAAGTGAAGGACTTGTACACTAAAAACTCAAAACATTAATGAAAGAAATTATAAAAGATATAAACAAATGGAAAGACAGCTCATGTTCATGACTAGAAAACTTAATATTGTTAAGATGTCTATACTATCAAAACAATCTACAGATTCAGCATAATCTCTAACAAAAATCCCAACAACACTTTTTACTAAATTAGAAAAATGCATCCTAAAATTTATATTGAATCATAAGAGACCTAAAATAGACAGAACATTTGAAAAATAGGAATAAAGTTAGAGGACTTACAATTCCTGATTTCAAAAGACATTACACAAAGCTATAGTAATCAAAACAATCTAGTACTGGTATAAAGACAGACAAATATAGACAAATGGAATTAAAAGAGAGTCCAGAAATAAACCCTCACATATATGGTTAAATAATCTTAAACAAGGGTGCCAAGGCCACTCACCAGGGAAAGGACAGTCTCTTCAACAAATGGTGCTGGGAAAAGTGGACATCCATCCACATGTAGACAAATGAAGTGGGACCCCTACCTCACACAGTACTAACTCAAAATGGATAAAGACCCAAACATATTACCTTAAACTATTAGTATTTCTAGAAGAAAACATAGGGGGAAAACTTCATGATAGTAGACTTGGCAATGATTTCTTGAATATGACACTGAAAGCACAGGCAGCAAATCCCAAAATAGACAGATGGGACTATGTCAAACTTAAGCACCTCTGTCTATCAAGGAACACAATCAAACAGTCAAAAAGCAACCTATGGCCCTGGCCAGGTGGCTTGGTTGGTTGGAGCTTTGTCCCATACACCAAAAGGTTGTGGGTTTGATTCCCAGTCAGGGCACAAACAGGTTGTGGGTTCAAACTCCGGTCAAGGTGTATATGGGAGGCAACCTATCTATGTTTCTCTCTCACATCGATGTTCTCTCTCCAAAACATCAATAAAAACATATCCTCAGTTTAGGATTTAAAAAAATTAAAACAGCAATCTATGAATATGGGAGACTATATCTGCAAATCATATATCTGATAAGGGGTTACTATCTAGAATATATAAAGAACTCCTACAATTAAACAAAAAAGTAACCCAATTTAGAAAAGGGCAAAGAGTCTGAACGTGATTTACAAATGGCCAACAAACACAAGAGAAGATGCTCAACATCACTCATCATCACAGGAATGCAAATCTAAACCACAATGAGTTATATCACCTCACACCCTTTAGGACTGTTACTATTAAAAAAAAAAACAAAAACAGAAAAAAAGTGTTCATAAAGATATGAAGAAAACTGAAACCACTGTGCACTGTTGGTGGGATTGTAAAATGGTGCAAACATTATGGAAAACAATATAAAGGTTCATCAAAGAGTAGAACTCGCACACGGTCCAGCAATCCCCTTGTGGGTATATGCTTAGAAGAACTGAAAACAAGGTCTTAAAGAGATACTTGCACACTCAGGTTCATAGCAGCAACATTCATGATAGCCAAGGAGTGAAGGCAACCCAAATGCCCACTCACAAGTGAATAAACAAAATGTGGCATATATGTATAATAAAAATATTATTCAGCCTTAAAAAGGAAGGAAATCCTGTCACATGCTATGACATGAGTGAATCTTGAGGACATTGTGCTAAGCGAAATAAGCCAGTCACAGAAGACATATACTACTTGGTTCCACTTACATGAAGTATCACCTACAGTAGTAAACTTCATAGAAACAGAAAATACAGTGGTGGTTACCAGGGGCTGGGTGGAGAGGGGTAAAAGGAAGCTGTAGAAAATTTTAGATTTACAAAATAAGTTCTGGAGATGTTTCAATTAAAATTTTAAGTTGCAAATAGACATATCAGCCAAAAGAAGAAAAAAGAAGAAAAAAAGCAGGAAGGAGGAAGAGAGCTACTAGTCCTAAAACACACACACATGTAATAGGTTAAGTCTGTAAAGCTTTGTGATAATAGCAAACGAGTCAAGCTCAGGAATGATTACTCGAATGATTTAATAAATTAAAATATGCTGCTTAGATACTAAACCCTAAAGAAAGAGAGAAGCCAATGATTAAGAAAGCACTCCTAATTTAAATACATAATTAGTTTGCTTATTTTAATACTGCTATGAGGATAAGTCTCTTAATAAGCATTAATGAAAGCACTACTTATGAAAGTACTGATATAGAAAAACAGCCACTAATACAAACCCATTCACTGCAATTTAAGTATTCATTGAATGTTAGCCAATTAAATGCTATTATAGGCTCTGGGCTTTAAAAAAGAGAAAACCAGATTTTTCCCGAAATGCCTCACAGTCCTAAGCTAGAGGCAAAGGAGTCCTACCTGAGCAGGAAGAGGAAGCAGATAAGCACAGGATGCTATGGGAGCACATTCAGGTTTTCCATATCTGGTGAACTGTCTCAAACATCCCTTTCTAAAAAGAAATACTTCTAAACAGGAGCAAGTGCAAACAAAGCTACCAATGGCTCATTAAACAGCCCCTCCCCGCCCTCTGGGCTTTCAGTAAGAGACAGATACAGAGTGTGAACAGATACGGTGGCTTTATCACCCGCTATTTGTTGTGGATAGTCTCCAATACAATACTGACATTATACTTATGTCACAAGCAGGCTAGATCCACGTTTTCACATATACACACAAATTGCATCTCCACAAAAATCTACCTTCTTTGCCAGTTAACTGTAGAGACTTGGATCTGATAAGCGGAAATGAAGTTCTCCTTTTCAAATTCATATCATCATAGGAGGAGAAACACCTAACAACAGGAAGAAAAATCAACATTGGACACAATGAGTACACTACATATAATTTACTCTGTAGTAGGAGCTAGATGGAAGTTACTGAGAACTGTACAAGCCACACAGAAATCACCTCTAAGGTAACACTCCAATTATTGCTAATACATGTAAAAACAAACATTTAAGGATCATTCTCTAAAAAGTGAAGTATTAAAATACCTATTTCCCTCCCCCCTTTGAATTCTACATTCACGTCTTCCACAAGCAAACAGTCCAAGGGTTTTTATGCATTTACTGTTAGTGTTTTCTCTATTACAGTCTATAGAACTTACCAGGCATAGAACCATCTCATTCGTTCTAAAGAGGTTTTTAACATTTTGGTTGTAAGATAATCATATGGGGAGGGAAATGATCTCAATATCCCTCATTTGCCCAAATTTCTCAAAAATATAAAAAGGATAGTAAAAATAATCGTGAAATATAATACTGACGTTACCTTTTAGGGCTTGGATACTGATTACATTTAGGAAGTCCTGAACCGTAATCTCCATCAAATTGAGAGATGTTTCGACAGCGCTGCATACAAAGCATCAGTCCCAAGACCACACAGAGAACCAAAGAGGTGACAAGGTAGCTCTGCCGATCTGAAACCTGAGATGAGAAGAGAGGAGACTAATAATACTTTTAAAATCATACCAGGAAAAATATAATGGGATTTAAAATTCAAAGGACAAATCACTTTAAACATTTTCTTAATGTGCCGCAAAATCACAAATGCAGGGCATGCTCTTTGAAAATGTACAACCAAGACAATGTTCTAATGTTTCTTCTTTTTCCTCCCAATTCACTGTAATTTTCTAACCTATGAAAAAGTTTTGTAAATAGTTCAATGAACACACTTGAGCCTTTCACCAATGTTCACCAATTGTTAACATTCTGTCACATTTGTTTTGTCTTTCCATTTGCACTGTGTCCTCCCGGGGAGAAAAAATATTGTGCTCTTACCTGTCTTTCCCATCTTATAAAACTGAACCAGCAATTACCTAGTTATTTAAGCCAAAAACTTGGTGATCATTCTTAATTCCTCACCCTACATGTCCAAATCCTTCAGCAGGCTTGTCTTTCTCCTCTTCAATACATCCTGAATTCAACAACTTCACCCTGTCCTCCACATCTAAAGCCCTAGTCCACGCCATCTCCTCACCTGCTACAGCCACGCCCACTGCCTCCTAGTTTCCTCCCCACTTCTGCTCTTGCTGTCCCCAGAGGTGATTCTCCACAGAACAACAAATGGAGATTTTCTCCAAGTGGTGTCAATGAGATGATCTAAGTCACTTCTTTACACAGTACTTGCAATGACTTACAACGATTAGAATAAAATTCAATTCTAAATTGCCTACAAAGGCCTACCTACATGACTGGGCTCCTGCCAATATCCTGAACTCACTTTTTACCCTCACTTCCCTCATTCACTCCGCTTCTGTCACACCAGCTTTCTTTCTGCACCCAAACAAATCAGTCTCTAATCGTGGGTCCTTTGCCCTAGTTCATCTATAACAGACTTGTTCTGATCCCAGCCTCCATGGTGCCACCTCCTCTTAGCACTAGTTAATGCCATCTCCCCAGACAAGCCTTCCAACTTCACTCTGGCTATAGCTGCAACCTTATGCCCACCACTCCACCCCCCACACCTATTGTTCTCTGTGCCACTGTCCCTCACATGTTTACTGTAAGGCCAGGGACTCTTCATGTTTGTATGCCCCAGCCTGGGGCGATACAGCTCATGCCAAACACATACTGGTTGCTCAATGAATACTTTATACATCAATGAAATCTCTGTTGTGTTAAGAAACTCAAGCTTTTTTGAACTGAAAATGAAGTCTGTATTGCAACTTTCAATGGTTTACAAAAGGCCTAACAGAATGGCTTTATAACTAACTATATTTTAGGTAAGACCTAAACCATGAAAACCATGTTTTCCAAAAGATTATGATAATTAATATATTTCCACAACTTTTTAATGTCACATTTTGGTGTTCTGAAAAGTTCTCTATAAATAACAATTTCATTTGGTTCAAGTTCTTAGATACCATGTTCTTAACTTGCCTGCTTTTATGACAACCTCTAGATATGCACTCTTAAAATACAAACAACAATTACTTCCTCCCCCCCCCCTTTATTAATGTTAGAGAGAGTGAGTGGGAGAGAGAGTTAGAAACATTGATGAGAGAGAACATCAACTGGCTGCCTCCTGCACACCTCCTATTGGGGATTGGGCCCACGACCTGGCCATGTGCTCTGACCAGGAATCAAACTAGCGACCTCCTTGGTGCAACCACTGAGCCACACCAGCTGGGCTTACCTCCTGCTTTAATTCTGCTACTGTTGCTGATAAGTTTGACACCAGCTGTGTCATGTTGGTCAATTGTGCTTGCAGCAACTGGATGGATTCTGTTTGCCGCTGATCCTATGATAAAGGAAGAAGTATTATTTGTCTTTGTGTTTCATCTATACATTAGCTGGGTTATAAATTCTAGTAAAATAATCTGGAAAAACTATTAAATTCCTGGGGGGGGGGGATTAATAAGCAAAGCCCCTAATGAATAAATAGTGTAAACTATTTATTTATTTTTAAATATATTTCCTTTTTTCCATAACTATTTATCCCCCAAACCCTCTTGCACCTTCACCCACCCCTCTCCCAACCACAATCACCACACTGTGGTCTGTGTCCAGGAGTTCTTTCTCTTTATTCTTTTTTGCTCAATCCCTCCATGCCCTCTGCCTCTTAACAGAAATTTTTGAAAAACAAAAAACACTTCAATAATCTGAGACCATTCAAACCTCTGCCCCTGCCACCACCCATTCCCCAAAAAGAGCCCATTTTGCCACTCCTTGCTACCATGTAGAAGACTGTCTAACAGAAGTTAATAAATTCGTTTAAGTTAATATGGACTCCATATGTAAAAACCACCATATAACCAGCTTTATGCAAAATTGTTACTGTCAAATATGTGTTTTTAAGGCAAAGCAATTGCCACGAAGACACGCTGAAAAATTTTTGAAGAGTATTTTTGGATAAAAAGCAGGCTCACACCAAGGTTTTAAAAGTTTTATTTTATATTAGGATGGAACCTTAGGATACCACAGTCAAAAATCTACTACTGATTATGTAGTTAATGCCAGAATATCACCAATGAGAAGTAATTTGTTAAAACACCCAACTTTTCAGCTCCGAATTTTAGAAACTTTAAATATCAACAAATATGTCTTTATTCAAAATATGCATGCATATTTTAGGGAACTGTGCATCGTGTTCATGGTTATAAACCTACATCAGGTAGAATGCACTGGAAATTTCACATTTATGAATTGAGGGAGCAGGAAGATGTTATGGAAGTCTAACACTCTAATCTGGGGCCCTCTATGAAACAGCTACATAACCATTTATTATTCTAGACTTCAGTTTTTCAAATTTAGACTTCAATGTTAAGTGCAGCTGTGTGTGTGAGGTTGGAGTAGGTGGACATACACAACTGTAAGGAAAGTTTCACTTGCTCCCCGCACTGTGGTCCACTGTGGGGCTCTCTATCCCAGTTCATCTTTCTCAAATGCTAAATGAGACTCATTAAATCATTTCATTTTACTGAGATTTTTACCTACAATGATAAATTCTAGACAGTTACAAACATTTAAAGGACAGTCTATTAAATTTAATAAACCGGTTAATACTTCCGTAATCAAGATTTACTTCCAATAGTGTTAATAGCACACAAGATTATTTAAAAGTATTTCAACAAATCTTTGAGACATAAGACAAAAAAAAAAAAAAAAAAACATACAGAAGGAAAATCACTGTATTAAAATTAACAAAAAATAAAATATTGTGTTCATGAGTCAGAAGACTTAATACTGTTACGAGGTCATTTCTCCACACTGATCTATCAAATTAATCCCAATTAAGATCCAAACAAGTTTTTGTTTTGTTTTTAATAGAAAGTGACAAGCTGATTCTAAAATCCATATGAGCCATGCCCTGCCCAGTTTGGCTCAATGGTTAAAGCGTTGGCCCAGGGACCAAAGGGTCACAGTTCAAAGGCTTGTGCCTGGGTTGCAGGTTTGATCCCTGGCCCCATTCGGGGTCATGCAAGAAGCAATCAACAGATGTGTCCCTCTCACGCTGATGTTCGTTTCTCTCTCTCTCCCCCTTCCTCCCTCCCTTCCACTCTGTCTAAAAAAAAAAAAAAAAAAAAAATCAATGGAAAAATATCCTTGGGTGAGGATTAAATAATAATAACAAATAATTTTAAAAAATAAAATCCATATGAGCCAAATCCAGATTGGAGAAAAAGTTCTGGAAAAGAACAAAGCTGGAGGATTCACACTACCTGAGTTCAGGAGTTCCTATAAAGCTACAGTAATCACAACAATGAGGTATTCGTATAAAGATAGACAAACGGAACAAAAGGCCTAAAAACAGACCCACATATATATGGTCAACTGATTTTTATCAAAAGTACAAAAGAAATTCATTGGAGAAAGGACAGTCTTCAACAAATGATGTTGGAACAAAGGTATTTTCATGTTTCTCATCTCTCCCCAAAAAGAACTATGATCCATACCTTTCAACACATAAAAATGAAAGTGAATCATAAAGCTAATGTAAACCTAAAACTATTAAAACTTCTAGAAAAAAAGTTAAAAACAAATCTTTGTGACTTGGGATTAGGCAAAGATTTTGTAAAGCAGAGAGAAAATGTGTAAATTGAGCTTCAACAAATTAAAAACTTCTGCTCTTCCCTAGTCCCAAAGAAACGTTCAGAAGAGGATAACATTTCTTCACCATGGTGACACACAATAAAACACTAAAAAGCATCACACTTTGTCATGCAATACTGAAATTTTTCCCTTAAAATCAGTTAGATGGGAATGACCACATCAACAGCCCTGTTGCATCATTGTACAGCTTTAGGTAAGAAATGAGAGGGAAAATGGAAGAAACAGGTACTGGGATTACAAAGGAAAAAACCTGTTTTTGTTTGGAGTCAGTAAGGCTGTCTACACAGCAAACAACAAAGGATTTTCGAGTTTAACTAAGTTGCACAGAAGTCCACTGCACTTACACACACACACACACACACAATCTTGAAATGTAGTATGAATAATGCTCAGGAAAGTTTTCTCTAGAGGAAACATTAGTGCTAATAGTTTGGGAAACTTTCTAAACATGGCATTAACAGGTTTAGTCATAAGCTATTTAGGGGGAAAAGAAAAGCAACATTACTAATCCTTCTTACCAGCGAGTCTACAAAATTCAGTGGACATTTATATAAAAATTAAATAAAGCATGACGATAACCAACCTGCTGCTCTGCTATTCTTGAAGTATTCTGAAGTTTTACTATTGTTTTATTGAAAGCCTTTTGCATTTCTTCCATTTGTTTTCTGTACCTGTGAATTAATAATCAATTTAAATTAGCTTTAATTTCTTATTTATTAATTTATTACTGGAAACACTTCTGATTTCAATATATGAGACAAATAAATTTTTCTGAAAATGACTGAAGCCTATGCAATACAGGACCACTACATAGCTGAAATAAAGAAGTCACTTAAGGTATCTGCTAATAACCTCAGCATTGAATCTACATATCTCATGCCATATAAGACCTACTGGTTGCATATATGAAAGTTGCTAAGAGCACAGATCTTAAAGTTCTCATAACAAGGAAAAACAAGGAAAAACAACTTGTAACTGTGTGATGATAAATGTTAACTGGGCTTATTGTGGTGATCATTTTCAAATATATACAAATACTGAATCATTATGTTGTACACCTGAAACTAATATAATGTTATATGTCAATTATCCTACTTTAAAACAAGATTAGTGATTTCTGTGGTCTCCTTAAGGGGGCAGTGGGGACAGGAGACGCAAGAGCAGGTATGTGGTAGCTAAGTGGACATGTACACACAACGAGCCAATAAACTGTATGCATGGATTAGGAATAAGACTCCTTTGGGATACAATGACTACCTCAGTGATGTCTCATTAGTAGCATTTTGATTTAAAAAGAGTAGAAAAATGTAGTGTATCAGAAACTCCAGACACTTAGTGCCTAGGCAGTTACAAATGTTGGAGGAGAAGCCCGAAGGACACTGGATACTGAGGGAGGAAAGAGCAATAGGTCTAAAAACATGGAGACTGTGCCTGGCACACCGGCGCTGCCTCTGGCCGTGCCAGCGTAAATGACTACAGCTGGAACCAAGGTTGTAGGAGTTGTGGAAAGTGCAAATGCTGCCTAACCATCCACTGGAGTCTTTCTTCACTTAGTTCAGTTTTTAATGCCATCTAGTCACGTTACTCTCGGAGCTTTAAGGTCCACAGACCGTAACTCCTCCCATGAGTGTCTGGGAATCAAACAGTAAACATGGCTAAAATTAAGCAACAGAAGAAAGAAGAAACTGATTATAGATCATTCAAACTTAACCTAAGAATAAAGGTGTTACGTACTTCTAAGAAAGACAAGAAAGCCTTTAAGTCACTGATCAATATCGAAATAATTCTCTCTCTTTCTCCAGCTAAAATGGTGCTGACTGCCTGGCTGGTGTGGCTCAGTGAATTGAGCATGGTCCCTTGGACTGAGCGGTCCTGGTTCGATTCCGGGTCAGGGCACATGCCTGGGTTACAGGGTTGATCCCCCAGTAGGGGGGGCATGCAGGAGGCAGCCAATCAATGTTTCTCTCATATAGATGTTTCTATCTCTCTGTCCCTTCCTCTCTATAAAGTCAATGAAAACACATATTTTTTTAAAAATGGTGCTTACTACTATTATATCATGAGATAATTAAATTTCCTCCTTCTCTAGTCACAGATCACATTCCACTACTTAACTCACTGTGCGGTGTGGGTTGCGCATACTCATAATAAAGCTTACCTTTGGCTAAGCTCCTCCAGATAGCGACCGCTGAGAGACATGTTAACTTCTAAGGCTTTAATACGATTATTAAGTCTCATAAACACTGACTCCTTCTGGTTTGATCCATGTACAAGATTTCCATTAGCATATCCTAGATCTGTCGAATTTTGCAATTCAGCATAAAAATCTGTAGCTGTCCTCTGTAACCCTCTTAAAAGGGCATCCTCTGGAGACTGTTCTTCCTCTTTCACTTCAGGTAATGCAGAAGCATCCACAACAGGAGGCATCATTTGCTTTGGTGTGTCAGCTACGTTCATTTTGGCTTCCCCGCCTTCACTGTCTGGCACGGCAGCTGTGCTTGTAGGTGGCACTATTGTTTCGGACAGCTTTGTGATCATTTGCATGGAGTTTATGTCTTCTTTTACAGTACTATCTACTACTTCATTAAGTTTAGTTTCATAGATGATCACAGTTGGCTTCTCTACAAAACTAAAACTCTCAGACTTCTTTTCTATTTCATTATCAACCTCAACAGAACTCTCTTGGGGAATCACTTGTGATGGTGTGTGCCCTGCTTCATATTTAATTGGCTCAGATACTTCTATTTTAGATAATGAACTGATTTCTGGAGTAACATCTAAATGAAGAGACTGAGAAAGAGTTTGAGGATGGCTTGGTTCAAGTTCAATTACATCTACAGTGTGATTAATCAAATCACCTTGGTGCATACTACTTAAGTCACCTAGAACAACCGTCTCGGCTTCCTTTGCCTTACTCTTACTGTTCAATTCTCCAGGTGCAGGCTGCAATACTGTCACATCGACTGATTCTGCAGGAAGTAGCAATGTTGGTTGCACTGGCACAAGATAATCTTTTTCTTCACTCATAGCACTTCTGCTGTGTTGCCGATAAAGAGCAACTCTAACTGAACACCATTTATATATGTATTCTGCAAAACTAGAAATGCAACAAATTGTGGTCAGTTCACTGCAAAATATTTGTGTCTCTGCCTCAAACCAGGGTGATGACTCATCCTCCTGTTCTCCGCTACCCAGAAGGGTCACTGTGGATGGACTTGCCTCTTCTTCGTCCTCTTGAACTAGCTGGACAATGGGACTCTCTTTTGGAGTATCTAGTGATGACGGCTCTGTGTCATGTCCTTGTTCTTCAGCGGTTACAAACCTAGAAATATATACCATAATTACAAATCACTTAAATTATAAATCTAAAGTTAAAATCTTGCTTAAGAAAAATATCCATGGTTATTAATACAGATGAAATGAAACTAATTCTTGGATGACTTTTTTCCTGTCAAACAATTTTCATTATAAAAACAAATATCATTCAGAAATGGTAACAGAAAGACCATTTATCAAGCACCCAGACAGATGATTCAAATCACCATATTTAGCAAATCAACCTTGCTTTTCTTTAATCTCTGTTTAAGAACTGTTTGATTATGAACACTACTCCCATTTCCTGGAATGTATTATGTACCTTTCCTCCTATAAATATTCACCAAATCTTTACAAGCCTCATTACCCCTTATATTTGAAGTTGAGCTCCACAAGAGCTATAAATTCTCAGAGCAGAAACTATCTAGGATTTTTTTTTTTTTTTATCCTCATCCGAGGACATTTTTCGATATTTTGTTCAGATAGAGTGGAAGGGAGAGAGAGAGAGAAACAGTGATGTGAAAGGGACACATCGAGTGGTTGCCACCCACACGACCCAACCAGGACCAGGGACAAACTGCAACCGAGGTACGTGCCCTTAGCAGGAACCGAACCCGGGTCTCTCTGGACTGCAGGCCGACGCTCTAACCGCTGAGCCAAACCGGCCAGGGCTATCCAGGATTCTTAATGCTTATGAATTCACTTTGTGCCTGAATATCCTATTTTCAAAATGCAGATAGATTTCTCAAAGATTATTTTTCTGTGGATGATTTAGGGAATACCAATGTGGCACAACACACGATTATCTGTTTTAGGGAGAAGAAACATATCCCCCTCCTCCCCCAAATAATCTGAATATCATCTGGCCTGTGGAATGTCTACCATTGATAATGGAGCTTTCTATAACCATTTCACACAAATCACAAGTACCTTCCTACGTACTGGCAGACTTAGTTCTCTGTTTCAGCAGAACTCAAATTGCACAATGGAACTTACTCAGGCGGAGGAGCAGGAGGTGACCCGGGACCTGCTGCAGGCATCTGGGGTGCAGCTGGGGCAGTGGCCCTCTCAGACATACTTTTGTTTCCTATTGTGAGAAAGACGCCCATGTTGTTTAATTTGTGAAAGCTATACCATGATATCTCATTATAACAAATACAGAACTTTAGTTTCTCAAGGGAGAAGAAAAAGTCAAATAAGTTTGCTACTGCAGACTATTTTCATCCACGTTCTTTTAGAAAGAAATGATTGCACAAGGTCACAGCTACAAGTAATGCGTGTTTCTCAGCTTCTCAGATAACTGAAGCAAGTCAGCTGACTGTGACGTCTGTGTAATCGCACATGGTTAGTATGCCTGCCAGACAGACACCTGAAAGAGCTTCTGGAGAGAATGAACAGAAACAAATGTGTCATTTTAAGTTTGCTCTTGGAAATGAGTTGTTGATGTTTTTTTAAGGGCAAGATTACTTCTCCTGGTTAATAATATTCTTATGTGGCATTCTGTAAGGGAAAAAACTGCTTTCTAAATTGAGTAGATATTTGCTAAATAAAGCATATGTGAAGTATCATTAAAGCACCAAAACCCCAGGAAAGAGATAAGGGAGAAAATCATTTTACTTCTACAGCAGGGAGAGCCAAAAACCAAATTCATGAATTTTACAGAGATAGGACCCTATTCTAAAAGAGAGCTTGTGTAACTGAAATAAACAGCAAATAACAGAAGACTGAAAGATTCCACTGGATCATTTCTATATTTCTAAAGTAAAAATCAAACTGCTTAGCTTATTAACTAGTTTTCCTAACCAGGAAGACCCCTTGAGTATTTAAAAGACCCATAAAATTATTAGGTACCTTCTGTCAGGTCTTCAGTTTTTGCTCCCAGAATATTAGCGGCAATATTCACCATATTTAGAATGGCATCTAAAACAAAATTCAATCAGAAAGAAATACCAATACACCTAAATATTCCCAATATTAACTTAATATCAGATAATCAAAGAACCATTTATAATGGCCTTTTTGCATATTTTGGACTAATTACTTTTTTATTCACCTTACTATGTAAGTCCAATAAAGGACATACATTTTAGCCAAAAAAGTATAAAGCATAAATCTGAGATTTATGTTCAGAGGAATTTAAAAGTTAGCTATACTTTTTTTTAAAAAGGTTTTTTTTTTTTTTTTCAAACCTTTTACCAAAACACTGTCTTCAGCCTTACCAAATTCAAGTATAATTCAACATATAGACAGGGAAGACATGTGACAACCAAAATTCATTTTACCGAAAAGCCTGTTTTTCTTTAAGAGCATTCTACAGTCTAAAAGAAAACCCAAAAAGCCTGAAGAAACAAGGTTTTCCTAAACAGGTGATTATCATCAGTAAAAATAAACAAAAAGGGAAGATTATTATCCAAAGGGAAGCAGAAAGATTTTGTTATAGTATCTATTGGTAATATGATTAAACTCCAAGCTGATCTGTATAGAATCAATTTTCTTTGATAACTTTTACAATGTTCTATGGATGATAAATCACACAAATTCTTTCATGAACTGGGAGCTTGGGCATAGGCAGATTCATTAAAAGCCAAAGTCATAAAACTCCAAGTGTTGTACGTAGAGCAATCTGCAAACTTGCTAATTCTGCCTCTTTCCAAAGAGGATGTTTATTTTAGATGACGGGTAAAGTGGTCCAAACCTTCGCATCTATTTACAGAGCCGAAGGTACACGAGGAGCACAAAACAGCAGGGCCCCAAACAGCAGGTGCTGGGAACAAGAGGCTTCCTTCCAGTAAGATGACGGGACTTCACGGGAAATTAACTTCCATCCCCAATCTAATCTCTGATGATCCACTAGAAGTTAATTCTCCTATTAAAATACTAAGATCTGGCACGGGCCACATATTAAGCCGTCTTAGTCTCCTTTCCTGAGAGAGAGCCCAGGGTTTTCATCCCTCTGCTCATGAAAACCACAGATGTGAGGAACTGGACAGGATCTAGGAGGAAAAGCTAGTATATCAAGAAGGCTGGGAACTATCACCTGGAGTTAATTCTGTAAATGTGTGCTTTATGGCAGGAGAAGGGAGTAGGAGATTTTAGACTGCTTTAATGTCATAACCAGTTGACAGTTATTAACTTTGATCTTTACATAAACGTGATTCTACAATCTGAAAGACAACAAAGCAGTGATACTGTTTCAATCATTATTAGTATGACACAAAAGCTCTGTATTTGCTTATTGAATGTCTAGAATGATGTCAACTTTGCCCTTTGACCTGGCAAATCGGTAAACAGAGAAGTGGCCTTGGTTCTGAGGGCTCAGGAGACGCCTCAGCATGAGATAAAAACAGGAATGGAAACTCTGTATTTCCTCACAAACCAAGATGAAGTAGCAATGGAAACTGTTATTTCCTCATAACCCACTTTTATTGTCAGCCAGCAGTGCAACAGGAGCAGCAGCTCGTCTGCTCAGGCCGCTGGCTCCAGTGCAGACAATGCGGACGGCTGCACGGAACCCCACTGCACGGAACCCCGAGTGTGCAGTCAAGTCTACCCTCTCAGGCCCTTATGCTTCAAGAGCGATCTAACCTTAGACTTCAGTTTCTTTGGCATTTATTATTAAAGAATTCAAGGAAAGAAATCATCTATTAATCTGTGCAAAAAAGTAACTTTAGAGCATATTTTAACCTGAATTTTAATGCTAGCACATACAGTAAAGATTTATACTACCCATCACTTAAAAATATTACTTATCATCATTCCAGGGGCCACTTGAGTAACAGAAGCAAATTTCTACTTTTTTGTAGATTTCTAATCTACAAGAAATAATTTTGCTATGTTCACAGAACACTGCCAAATGCAGTTTTTTTTTTTTTCCTTTTGAGAGAAAGCAGCTTTGTGAATATTCTACTCTGACCCTTCTCAATCTGCACCCAAACATATGACAGCCTGTCACAACGGTCATCTGGTCACTGAAAAACCTTCAGTGTAGCCAGAGGTAATCATCAGAAATACAGTGCCAAATTCGATACCTGTCTCTAATTTCTCCTGGATTAGCTGACTCCCTTATCTTTGAGTTGGCAACTATCATCCCATCTCTGCCCTTTAAGAATGATATTCTAGGAACCAAATATCATTATGATATACTCGGTCTCCAGCACACCAATAGCTCTTGACAGAGAACACAGACGATATATGCTGCAACAGAACGAGACACACCAACAAAAAACTATGATAGTCTTCCATGGAGAGGAAGAGGGGAAGAACATAAAGGGGAGAAAGAGAAGACGAGGAGAAATGCCTCCTGACCCACGCCAGCGCAGGTACACACCTAGGCCCTGTGCTTCGGTCGGGCGTCCACAAGAGCTGGAGTCAGAGGGCTGAGACTGGGCTCAGCGCCGCCACTCACTAGCAGCAGCAAAGGAAATGCACAAGCAGCTGCTTGTCTGTTTACTAAGACCCGCCCCTACTAAATCCAACTATTAATCTCCAAATAGAAAGGAAGCCTCTTCCAGTAAACTTTACATTCTTCAGGAATAATCAAAAATAACAAACATTAAAATATACCTACCCTCATTCTAACAGTAAAAACAAAACATCAGTGGGTAAACAGTCTTTTCCAGGAGTCTCCTTAGTGAGCCTACCACTAGGTTAGATACTAGGTTACAATGACAAGAAACAGAACTAGTATCATAGTTACTGTTTCTGTTGTTTACAAAGAGTAAATTAATATTCCTGCTGTTGTTATTGCTTGGAAATCAATATTATTATGGATAAAAACAGATTTTATATTTTGTAATTAAATAGAAAACTAATCATATCCACAGATTAAAGATCATTGGCTAGGATTTCGGTGAGGGATACAGCCCCTGAAACTACTGTTCAAACTCCTCTGCCATGCAGTATGACTACCCAGCTGCTCCTACTCATTGGTCTAGGATCTCTAATAATTCGGTCCCAAGTGAATCCACAGCCCTTTCCTCACTCTAAGGAATGTGCCAAATATTATGAGCACTTAGAGAATTTAAGCTTGCATTTTTTTCCTCCTCTCTTCTTTTTCACCGATCCTTTCTATTTTATTTCCATAGAAATATTTTTCAAAAGCCAGGATCTAATTTCAACTCAACGTTGAACACTGGGAGGCAAAGCCTTCTAAACATACCACAACAAAATGACCACATATGTCAGGGGAAATGCTTTATCAGTGACTAAGAAAACCCCAACATACTTACTTGTAGCAGAACCAAGAAGATTTTTTGAGGCTTTATCCTCCCCTGTACCATAATCCAGTGGATAATCTGTTTAAAGAGACAATGAAGGTACTTACACTGAGAACTACCTCCAACGTCAGCTGACATTTAGGATAAATTTTATAATAAATATTCATACACATCTAAAATATGTTGGCAAAAAGAAAATGAGATTCAGAAGTCAGTTATCTAACATGTAAACCAACAAAAGTAATTCCACTGCTTAACAAAATTTTAATAACTGTAAGACTTTTATTCAAGTTTTCAATGTATTTTACAAACTCCCTGTAAATGTCATTTTATTCATGGGAAAACTGGAGGGAAATTTTAGATTGTTCAGATTACGATTTCAGAGATGCTAAAACTAGGACTTGATAAGGCAGAAATGGAGGGTGTGTAAGCCCTCCTACCCCTCAGGCTCACAGGTGTCTTGCAAAGGCTCGGGCTTTAGTGGGCTTGCTTTTGGTTTCAAAGCAAATCAAAGGAACTAATGCTCAATTCTACTATTTCAGGTGTTTCATGAGTTTAATAGGTTTTTGGGCCTGGCATAGGGATATAATCTTAATTTATAGCACAGATGTTATGGACGGGAGCTCCAGTTATAAATGCTGATTGATGATCTAGAAAACAACTCAATTTACAAAGTAGAAACTCATTTTAGAAAATAGGGTTAAGAAAAAATTAGTTATTAAGGTTAAAACAAAACAAAAAACTAAAGACAATCATCATATTAATTTTTTAATTAACCTATATTTAACCCTTTACTATTAAGTTTTTTAAAAAAAAATATATACACATAATAATCACCTATTTAAAGATCACTTACCATAGTCCTCATCAAATAGTTCTTGCCGTTCTGAATGATACTGGGAATCAGCAATCTCTTCATATTCTTCCACCATGCTAGTGCCAAATACCCTATTAACAACAAATTATTAAAGACAAACAAAACGAAGTTGTTGAGAGTCATCTCTTCACAATAAACGACAAAGCAGATGAACTTTGGTCATGTTTTGAGGGCTATTAGCTTTTGAACTCCAAAATAATAACTGCTTCTTACACTGCAGTCAGTCACTGTTTCCATTAAAATGTAAAATTAATCTATTTAAAGGCATTTAAAAAATATATAATGACCAAGTTTTGATATCAGTCTAAAATGTTCCCTATATTATTGTGATAGCAAAATACAAGCAAACTAAACCAAACACAAAATAATGGTTATTTTTACTCAGAGGGGATTTTGACATTTTCCTAAAATGTATTCAAGAACAAAAAAAATGTAACAGCTTATATTTCTATGGCATTAACCTTATATGACAGAAAATTACTTTTTCACTTTAAATATGCTTGGATTTTTGTGTATCACTTTCTTTTTTATAACCACTCAGTAAATGTATTTTGCTCTGTTACCTTATAAGGCTTAGTGGACAAAAGTGCTCTGATCCAAAGTGGGACACCAACTCCACCTAAGAATAAAAGCACATGAAACAGGAAACTAGCACGGTGCTGCGAAATTATCCAACAATATACTCAGATTTGCATTTATAACATTTCTAAAAATAAAGTCCTTGTTTCCCCAAAAATCAGGGCTTGTAAAGTTTGGGGTTTTTTGCCATGCAGTAATATGCTATGCCCTGTTAGCCAGTATTGCAAAAGAGAAGATTGCTAACCTTTATGTACTTGATGAACATCTGAAGCGAGAGAAAGGAAAAGAAAAAGAAATCAGTTCCAAGGTCTGGATAACATGCTGTAAGCAACATTTAATATTTGTAAATTATACTGCTCAATTAAAGTATAGAAAGCAATGTACTTGGATGGGTAAAATTGTAGTATCCTTAATTCTTTGCAGAAATCAAAGCAATGATTTAAATTTTTACCATCACAAATATAAAGTACCATCTAATTGTAATTAAATACATTAACTTTAATTTTAAGGTTATTAAGTTAAATAACCTAAAATTCATTGCTGCTGTTTTATTTATCTATTAGTTAAGAAAGCTTTCTAAAAGTAATAAAGTCTCTGGAAATAACCTGTGCCTTATATTACTTAAGTATTATTGGTATGTATCATACATATACTACTACATGTGAATTTATATATTAATACATATGTGGATAAACATATCTATATACATACATATTCAAAAAAAGATAAACATAATATAAAATGTGTATTCTTGTACAAAATTGGGTACACATTGTTTTAGGGAAAGCATAAATTTTTGATATGCTGTGTTATTTCAGGATAACTTAGAGCACTCTATAATACGTTAATCCACTATTAAAATATAAGCTCCTAAAGAGTAGTTTGTAGATTTGGGTTTAATTCTTTTGGGATAAGAAAAACTCAGGTAAATTTATATCACATTTAATGTGTTTTGCTTTTAGACTTAATTCTACCAAAAAGGACTTTTTAGAAAATTAATCATCAAAATGCTCTAGTCTCCCATCATAAAAGAGACATGGTAGGGAGTTTTTCCTGGCATGTTTTTATGCTAAAATAAAATGTTGTTTCATTATAAACAAAGTAGATGGTGTAAAGAAAAGATACTCAGAATTATTTCATAATATGTGAGTTGTAGGAATTGTAAGATTAAACATAACTATCACCTGCCAAATAATTTTTAATGTTTTTCCTCCTCACTGTGTAGACATTGTTATATAACAAGACCATTAAACAATTATTTAGTATTCATTTTAAAAGGAACTGAAGCCCTGGCCGGTTTGGCTCAGAGGTTAAAGCGTCGGCTTGTGGTCGAGAGAGACCGGGGTTCGGTTCCCGCTAAGGGCACGTACCTCAGTTGCCGTTTTTCCCCCGCCCTGGTTGGGTCATGTGGGTGGCAACCACTCGATGTGTCCCTTTCACGTTGATGTTTCTCTCTCTCTCTCTCTCTCTCTCCCCTCTCTCTCTCTTCCTCTCTCTCCCTGCCACTCTATCTGAACAAAAAAACAAAAAAAATGTTCTCGGGTGAGGATAAAAAAAAAAGGAACTGAAGATGAATGCACCTTAATTTTTCTGAACACTGTTAAGTTACTGAGAATATCAACTATTTTAAAAATAGAATTTAGTATGTTTATACTGAGAGTAGGAATACTATAAGTTTACCCATTTATAGAAGCCAATTTAATACATGCTTATTACAAGACATAAACAGTAAAATCCCAGAAGACAATTAGGTAGCTATAAGTTTTCACATTTAAGGAAGAAAAGAGAGAAATCAGAGATGTTGTCATTCAAGAAGGCCATACTATGAACACAGTGGTACTTTAAGGTATGACCACTATTTTTTAAATTATTTATTTATTTATTTTCAAGCGAAAGGAAAGTTTTATTTGAAAAATAGACGGACTCCCCACAGCAGGGAGGGGACTCAAGTGGGATGCCCATGGTCACTATTTTAAAGAAAAAAAGGAGGGGGGGAGAAGAGTAGGAAATTCCTATATTTAGTCTAAATCCAATTCAAGTGTGATAATTCTACCTGACTTAGCGGTGGGGACAGCAGCAGGGACACTGAATGAAAATATTTAAAGGCTGACTTTATTTGAAATTGGTATTTGGACACGTAGAATACTTTACTTGAATGTGAAAAGCAAAGTCTGTAACGACAACACGCAGCTGGAGGGGAAAGCTGAAATGCCCTAACAATCACCTGAGAAGAAATCAGACCTGCTTTCCAGACTTCAGCGACTACCACTGATACAGGTTTTGAAATGAAGAAAAATGTCATACTATGAAGATGAAATTTTATATAAAGACTCAAGAAAATTAAAGTTATAATCTGGGATTTCATCAGTGCCACAAATAAAAAACTGGCCTAGATTTCCAGTAACACCAAAGGGAATGTATTACTATTTGTCTCAGAAAATAATATATCCAAGTAAAAATTATTTTATTAAATAAAATAAATTCAGTAAATTTTCTCTTAATTTTTCTGATTTCTAAACAGGTGTGGCGAGGTTATAAAGCATGAGTAACAGGTGTGTTTCCATTCTGGACATAGTCCCACATGTGTACACATTACCTTCACATATTTTGCATACATCTGTTCATCTAAAGGGAAGCTCTGGACGTTCCTCTCATCTCTCCCATGGAAAGTCCCCAGCTTAATCCACTTATTTGTGGGATACCTAGAAAATATACATATTCTTTGTAATAAATCATAAAACAAAAACACATACTGAGAGGTCCCATCACACCTTCAAAATATATCATGGGTATTTTTTTCCTCTCCAGGTGAACATGATTTAACAGTTTAAATATGAGTTAAATATTGAGTGAAATACATACATTTTCTTTCTCAACTGAAAGCCTGACAGATTCCTTTTTTGGAGAAAGAATATTTTGAAAAATCACACCATTATCAAATAGAAGGGAAGATAAGAAGACAAAAATGAGCCCTGACCAGTATGGCTCAAAGGTTAGAGTGCCAGACCCCCCCAACCAAAGAGTCATGGGTTCGATTCCAGTCAAGGGCACATGCCTCGGTTGTGGTTCAGTCCCCGACCCTGGTCGGGGTCATGCAGGAGGAAACCAGTCGATGTGTCTCTCTCACATCGATGATTCTCTCTCTCTCTTTCTCCATCTCTCCCTCCTACTCTATCTCAAGATAAAAACGCAAAAGTGTCCTCAGGTGAGGATTTAAAAAAAACTAAAAATAAATAAAATAATTAAAGTTTTAAAAAGTGACCCAGTTAAAAATGTTTTAAAAGTGACCCACCATAAATTCTGTAGAAACCAGTTTTAGAATTTACCTGTCACTGATAGAAACCAGAAAGTCCTTAGGAGTAGAAGAAAATAATTCATAATTTGCAATATCAAACTGCTTTACTTGAATTGGTTCACAAAGTTCAATAACAAACCTTCAAAAGAAAAACACAGGACAATTATTTAGATAAACCAATTAAAACAGTTCATATCAAACATTACATTAACAGTTTGCATGAACCAGAGGTTCATTAAGTGACTTGTGCAAACAAGGAAGGAGGAGGATTTTCGGCCTTATTTACCCATAAGGGAACACCTGTATTTCCCAAGCATGTCCTTTGGGGGGGGGGGGGGGGACACGACTACAAATAAAACAAGATCTTGATTTTATGCCATATTATTTTTTAAAAGATTATTTTCTTTAATGAAAAAAAAATCATTCTTAGAGAAGAAATGACTTTTCACTAAGATACTAGTGATAGTATAAACTGACTAGTAGGGCAGAGTTTGGCATATAAATCATCTCAAAGGGTGCCATAGTCTTTGACTTAGCAATACTTTTAGAAATTTAAAACGCACTTTTAGAAATGTATCCTAAGGATACTGGCGCCAAATGTTCACTCACATACACAGTTTAATACACCAAAGCACAGTCTGGGGGTGGGGGTGGTAGTCTACCTAAATGGTTAGCACAGAGGACTAACAAAGGAGGACTGAATTCATAGCCCACCCAGACAATAAATCACCAGACAGCTGTTAAAAATGACATGAGAAACGATATATTCCATTATATAGAAATCTAGAAAATGTAATGTGTAGTAATAAAAAACAGATCTTTAATTGCTGTGGGGGGGATGACAAAGGAGTCTAAGAACACTTTTTGGAGAGATGGCTAAGTTCCTTATCTTTACTGTACAATGGTTTCATATGTGAAATGTCAAAGGTAACAAACTACACTTTGACATGCTGCAGATTATTTTATGTGTAGTTCACTGTATGGCAATGATGTCTCAATAAAGCTCTTTTTAAAAAGTGATGCCAGGGCCCTGGATGGTTTGGCTCAGCAGTTAGAGCGTCAGCCTAACTGGTCCAGAGAGACCCGAGTTTGGTTCCTGCTAAGGGGCATGCACTTCAGTTGCAGTTTGTCCCCAGCCCTGGTTGGGTTGTGTGGGTGGCAGCCACTCGATGTGTCCCTTTCACATCAACGTTTCTCTCTCTCTCTCTCTCTCTCTCTCTCTCTCTCTCTCTCTCCTTCTCTCTCCCTCCCATTCTATCTGAACAAAAAATGGAAAGGTGCCCTCGGGTGAGGATAAAGAAAAAAAAGATGCCAGAGACCTATATTTATGGACATGGAAAAATGCCACAAATTTTGCTGCTTAAAAAAAATGAAAACTATGGTGCCATGTGTGTACACTAAAACTGTATATAGCACAGCATTTGGAGAAAATACTAATGACATCTAGCACTCTACTCATACTTGAATAAACTATTATATCAAATGAGATCATATGCTGGCCATTAAATGCTAAATAAATCAAAAGGATTAAAATGAACATACTGTGTTTAATCTTGGAAAACAACAGACCAAGTTCCAGGAGATGGTATAAACAATCAGGTGTCAGAGAGCAGCTCACGAAGAAAGCCAGGGGCCATTCACTGAATGCTCACTCTGGGTCAGATACCCTGGGAGATGACTTAATCCATCCTTAAACTGCCAAGGGTATTACCTCCATTTTATAGAATCATTTAATAAACACTCTCTGGTTACTTCACATTCTCCCCACTGTCTTTTAGTAACAGAACTCCCTTAGATGTCATTGATTTGCTTGTTTTTACCTCCCTAATAAGTACAGCACCAACACCAATCACAGATGCTTGTTAAACTACATGAACAAATCAATCTAACCCCAAAGTAAAAGTTTAACGTAATAGGTACATATACAGAGTGTGCTTTATTCAATTTTATATTACTTACCAAATCTTAGTGCTGCAGGGATTCAACATATAAAGATCCATATTTTCTATAAGAATAGCAGATGTGCTCTAGTTTAAAACGGGGGGAGAGAATAAATTAAGTAAAAATACATATTTCAATTCTAAAGCTTTCTAGGATTTCTATATTTTTAGATCTTAAAATACACCTAAGACTCTGAAACACTCATTTGGGGAAAAACATTCATTTGGATAAAATTTACCAGTTATGGCTATAGCACCGTTAGTCTTGCAACAACACATTTGAAATTAAATGTCTGTTACTAGAAAGAAAAAATGATTTTCTATTGACCAGTTCCTTTTTAAAATTTCACACAGGTTTAAAAAGTTAAAAACAGTGCACATGCCCTTAGGTAGGTAAATGGATAAATAAACTGTAATATACATCTAGACAATGGGATATTATTTAGCACTAAAAAGAAATGAGCTAACAAGCCATGAAAAGACAGGGACAAAAAGTAAATGCATGTTACTAAGTAAAAAAGCCAGTCTGAAAGGCTATCTACTGTATGATTCCAAGTACTTGGCATTCCTGAAGAAAAAAACTACTTAGGTAGTAAAGAGATTAGTGGTAGCCAGGGGTTGTAGGGAAGGAGGGATGCACAAGCAGAGCACAGAGGATTTTTAGGGCAGTGAAAATACCCTGTATACTATAATGATGGACACATGTCATTATACATTTGTCCAAATCCACTGAATGTATAATTGAACTCTAATGTAAACCATCAACTTTGCATAATAATAATGTATCAATATAAGTTCATCAACTGTAATAAATGTATCACTCTGTTGGGGGATATACTGATGATGGAGGCGGCAATGCATGTGTACGGGGAGGGGTATATGGGACATCTCTGTATCTTCCTCTCAATTTGCTGTGAACATAAAACAGCTCTAAAAAAAGTCTTCAAAAGAAAAAAACAAAGAGTGCAGTATATCAACCAATATAACTCAAGAATTCATACAAAAAAAAAAAAAAAAAGAAGGACTTTAAAAGCATAATACTACATTTATTGGCATATCAGGAAAACAGCTCATGTTGAAATATAGCTCCCAGAAAATCACTAGCTCCTTATATATGCAGAAGAAGTTCATACTTAAGTACCTTGGCTTCTGGATTAGCTGCCAAAATTTTGGCACCACATTCTACCGAGGCATAATTATTTCGATTTTTCTGGACCTTTTTCGTGGCGTGTAGACCTCCATTAGATGATGCATGCATTGACTGACCTGCAGATAAACCTTATTATAAACATATATATGATGATTATTTTTGAAAATAACCCAACAACACAATGATCTCAAAAGCAACAGGCAGCTGTCTAGAGGACAGGTTTTAATGCTTAAGAGAATATTTTTAAAACACATTAAGAAATTCAAAATGCTCCACCTCAATAACTTTAAAATATCCCCCAAAACACAAATTAGCTACAAACATCCATATTGTTTGATTCATGTCTAAGTGATATAATTCACAAAATGAAGTTCATCCATGAGAATCAATGCTTTTAAATATGTAAAATACACATTTAATTCTATTAAGGATGAATGCTATCCTCCATCTCTAATCCCAATATTAAGAATTCTTAGCCCTGGCAGGTTTGGCTCAGCATTTAGATCATCAGCCTGAGGACCGAAGGGTTGAGGGTTTGATTCCCGGTCAAGGGTACATACCTGGATTGCAGGTTCGATCCCTGCCCCAGTGAGGGAGGCAACCAATCCATGTTTCTCTCTCCCATCATGTTTCTCTCTCCTTCTCTCCCTTTCCACTTTATCTTTTTTTAAAAAAAAAGTCAAGGGAAAAAATCCTCAGGTGAGGATTAAAAAAAAAAAATCTTAACTTTGAGAATTGGTCAACAAAAGCATAGAGTTAATAACTTTAGTCCAACTCCATTTACAGTTTGAAGTTTTATGACTCAGATCTTTCCATTCCTCAATTTTCCTCTTATAAACTGAGATGAAAATCGCTGCTCTGCTATCTTGAGCTTATTTTATCTTCACTGAGTAATTTACAAGAATGGATTTTAAACAGGATTAAAACTGTATATAATTATACACAGGTAAAATACATATGGATAATTAATAGCATCTTTGTAAGTTTTACTTTTTAAAAGTTTTCAAAGTTTTATTTTACTAATTAAAAAGAGAAAAGCATATTTAAACCAGTTCCTTTAGAAAAAGAAAATAAAAAGAAATCACAGTGCTGTCTTACTTTTTTCTTTTTCTACTTCCATAACTTTCTTTTTCCATTCATCAAATGTTGGTATATCTTCTGGGTCTTTGGGACTTGTTACAGATGCAGGGTCAATTTCTTCTGGTTTCGTATAATCTGAACTCTGAAAGAAACACAGTTTTCAACTCTCAGAGAATACAAAGGTATTCTCTGCAATTTAAATAGTTCCAAAGAGGACATTTTTGTAGCGTGTGTCTAATTTTATTTCTGGCTGTAGTATGTGACAACTGAACCGTAACGTAGTGTGGTTTGGTTTCACTGGGAACATTCATTCCTTCAACATACTGAACTCCTATACTTATAAGAAGCTTCACAGAAGCAGCAGAAGTCTCCAGAATGAAGCGAAGTTAGCTGTGAGTGCTGACTCACTGAAAACATGTGGAAGAGAAGGTGAGAACAGGGAGACTAGAATTTAAAGGCACAGAGGTGGGTGTGGCATCCGGCACTTTAAGGTGCTCTTTGATTCCACGTTTTGTTTCTGTTCAGTTTATGGAAAGGCCTTTGTCTCTTTTGTTCCGTTATTTCTTACCTAAAGGGAGCCTAGACTTCTGTCAACATTTCTTCAGGAAATTCTGTACTGGCCTCTATGAAAGTAGAACTCAGAAGGAGAAAGGAAAGAAATCTACCACATTGGCATGAGCCTTGTCTTTATGGTAAGAATCATGCTCTTCCATATAAGCCAGTCTAGTATTTTGCACACAAATAACAAAAGATACAACATCTTTTGAAATAATTCTGGTTGAAGGGCCTAAATTTAACCTTGTATTATTGAGTTAAACTCATATTCTGAAGATACTTAAATAGTCATAGCTGCTTTTATATAGCTCAGAACCTGCTTAATTAAATAAGGACATGATGTACCCGACAGTGGCAGAAAACCATTTAAGTACACATAACCAGAGAGTTCCTATGAGGAACGTCTTCACATATAAACAGTGCACTGGCAACAGTACCATGAAGTAACCACTTGCTCTTGGGGAGCACAGCTCACTTAAGTTTCACATTCATCATTAACTACTTAACCCCTGATTTTATGGCAATCATGGTTAGCAAATGACAAGATTACCTAACAATAAAATGCACTGTATAACAAAGTAGGAGATAGTGCAAGGCATAATACCTACCTCATTTTTTAAATTATCTGAAGCCTTCAATGCAGACTTTGGATCACCACCACCCTGATCACTTGCTGAAACTTTTGATGCAAATTCTGATTTTGTTATCTTTCCTTTGCCATGTGAAGATGACACATTTTCTATATGCTGGCCAACAAGGCTATTTGAAACCAAAAGACATATTTGAGCACATTTTAGCTGAATAACAAATTTATGCAATCTCAACTGCTGTAATTATCATGTACAAAGTCAACCAAGCAAGAAGCACAAGGGGGATCAGCTGTCTCTCAACCAGAAAGTGGAATTAAGCCTCCACCCAGGTCCACTCCAACATGACATGCTGTACTACAGAATCCTACAAAAGCAGCCGCTGCTCACGCCCACCTTTCATGGGCACCGACAAAGGCAGGCTGCTCAGTGGGAACGCTGGCATCAAGGGCTTCACCAACTTCACAGTCAGTTTCAGGCGGCTCTGTTTCACGAGGCTTAGCTATAGGAATAGTACCAGATTCTTCTATTTCACTAAAAATAGAAATAAAACAAAAACAAGCTGGTGATTTGGTTGACAAAATGTAGAATAAGTCAAAAGTGATATTAGTGATTTCCAAAACATAATCTAAGCCACAGAAGAATGTTTTACATTTCTTCATATTGTTTTCAAAAATTCACTTCTTTTAAATCATCTAAGGTCAACTGCTGACTCTTGATCTGTTAGTGCTCTTAAACTCTGAATAGCTAATTACCAAATTTTAATACATGCTATTATAGGTTAATATTTGGTCTTATCAAAAATAAAAATTTTAGATTATTTATTCTAAATTCATCTTCTCTAATGTTTCATTTCTATCTCTTAGTATTCTACCAATGTTAGCTTTGTTGCCTACAGTATCAAAAAGTCATCTATTATCTCAAAACATTGCCCTAAGTTTTTAAGGTGCCTTTAGAATTTCATTTTAAAAACATATACCCCAGCCGTGGCCAGCATGGCTCAGTGGCTGAGCACTGTCCCATGCACCAGAAGGTCTCCGGTTCAGTTCCCAGTCGGGGCACATGCCTAAGCTGTGTATTCCACCTCCAGTCAGGGCTCAAAGGAGAGGCCGCCAAATGATGTTTCTCTCTCACATCTTTCTCTCTCTTTCCCTTCCCCAGTCTCTAAAATCAATAAATATATCCTCAAGTGAGGATTAAAAAATATATATACTTTTCCCCTACATCACTTCCATTTCACTAAAGAGTCATGGTCAATATAAGTAATAAATAAGGTACTGTTCAGATATATTGTATCCAGCCTTAAATTATTTCTGGATTAAGCATTTAATATTTTAAAATGTTAAATATTAAGCATGTCTTCTGTCCCCTTGTCCCTTACTGGAACCAATTCCTAACTGGTAACCAGAACATTCCTGTGTCCAGTTCCTTCAACCCATCCCATACATTCTAGAGAATAGGGATTTAAAATTTATAAAGTACTTGTGGAAAAAAAAATTATAGTGATAATAATAATGATATTAACTGACACATATATTCTTACAATGTGCCAGATTTTGACTTATGCAGTGTGTGTGTGTGCTCATTTGATGAAGGAAATGTTTAATGTAGTATTAAGGAAATTTTATTTTCTTCTTTGCAGTGTTGCTCGAAGGAAGTAGGAGTACATAGTAGGTTTTCTAAATTAAGGAAACCTTAAGCCTAAGTGTTCTGAATATTTATTATCAAATTTGAAAAAGGTAGCTATTCACACAAGCACATAAGTATATATGGAGTGCCACAGTTATATTAAATGCAATGACTAATTTGACATTTGAATTTTTGATAATTATAGAAAAAATTATTCAAGTAAGTTTTATGTTTCTTAAATAACTAGACCCTCACTTTACCTAAATGATATAAAGATTTCACATCTGGGATCTAATCAGTTTCACTGAGTTAGGCAACAAAATAAATATTCATTATAAGATGATTACATCAAAAAATAATAAGAACGCAAAGCACAGACATTATAATTTAGGTCTGCTATGGAGCCTATACTTCAAACGTGATCATCAAGCTGCCTGATTCTCTAAAGAAAATTTTTTATCATTATCCAATGAGACATATTTTTTCTGTCTGAGGACTTACTCAAGTTTTGAGACTGGAATGAGCTCTGAGGTAGATGAACTGGAAATGTTTTCCATGTTTTCACTGCTCACTACACTGGAAGAGTCTTCATGGAGATCAACGGTAGAGAACGTCTCAGTCACAGGTGGTCTTAATTTATGTGACTCCGTGTTCTGTTTTAAAGAAAGTTGTATTAAATGTTGAGATTAATAAATTATCTCTTTAGCTGAACAGGACTGTATAAAAAGTATGCCTCAAAAGTGACAATATAAAGAATGTTCACTGAAAAAGTGAAAATCCTTTCTTCCAATATTACCACCCTAAGGAATATATTTCATATTAAAATATAGGTTCTACACATTTTTCATGGCATTTCATAAGCTAGGACAAAGGAGCTTATCTTTTGTCTCTCCTATTTTGGACCTATAAATATTTCCCTCTTTCTATAATTAATCAATCCTATTAGCAACAAAGAAATCCTATGTAAATGTTCAAAATAATACAACACACAGTTCTGCTTCCGAGCAGTTCAGAAGATAATGAGTATCAATAAACAATGACACAAGGCATGTACAAGTTAACATTAAAAACCAATTCAGGAATCTTGCCATCCTTCAGTCCTGGGTGCTCTGGGCCATTTGCTCCTCCCAAACAGTCTGAAATCTACCTAATATCTACTCATGTTTGAAAACCCTTATCAGCACCGCCTCCCCTATAGCCAACCACAAATAGAATTAGCCATCCTCTTCCTCTCGGCTCCACTGTTCCCTGTACACTTTTATCACAGCATCTACAGACCCCTTATTTACATCTCTTCTTCCTCAACTCTACTATACGTGCCTTAACTAAGGATTATAGTCTCTTGATCTTCATGTTCCTAGTACCTAGCACAGTAGACATCCAATGCTAACTCAATGAATATCAAATGAGAGGTACTCATGCTAAGTTCAGAGAAAAGAGACTATGGGCTAGAAGAACTAGGGCTCTGAAGAAAAGTAAGGTCAGTACGTAAACAGAGAGAAAACACAAGGCATAGAGTCAGAAGAATACAAAATGTGATCATTTGGGGAATTATTTACACTGAAATGAAAACTTCACAAAGAAAAGCAAACAGCTTGCATTTTATTTTATGATGAAGGCCTTAAGAAGAGAGGAGTATGCCCTGGCCAGTTTGGCTCAGCAGTTAGAGCGTCGGCCTGCGGTCCAGAGAGACCTGGGTTTGGTTCCCGCTAAGGGCATGTACCTCGGTTGCAGTTTGTCCCCGGCCCTGGCTGGGTCGTGCGGGTGACAGCCACTCGACGTGTCCCTTTCACATCGATGTTTCTCTCTCTCTCTCCCTCTTCCTCTCTCTCCCTCCCACTCTATCTGAACAGAAAGTGGAAAAATGTCCTCAGGTGAGGATAAAAATTAAAAAAGGAGTATGACATTGCTAACAAATATTGAATTACATTTCAACATGTATTCAATATTTAAAAATGAGGTACTTTCCGCTTTTACTTTCCTTTACAAACAAAACGTGCCGTGAACTTTAACCAGAGACATCTCTACCTGGACCGGCGCTCGCCAGCCACCGTGGCTAGGGCCCCAGACTGAACAGCTCGGCTCAGGCCGATGCAAAAAGCACTTCAAAGTGTTTGAACAACAGTATGCCTTGATGAAAAATTCTAGAAAACAAACAATGGTAGGACTGTTCAGGTTAGTCGTGTAACTAGAAGGGCTACAGAGATCACTTTTCTTACTCTTAAGCACAAATTTTTGACAAATGTCTTCCAGAATCCAACAAAACGAAACTCTCTGTATCTCCTTAGATAACCCAATTAAGTCATAGAATGGCTCTAGCTGAATTTAAAAAATAGAATTCTTCCTCATTTTAAGCTGAAATTTATTTTTGTTAATATGTGATAGTTTCTCCTTAGCCCTCCTTCTTCTAGCTCCAATATCCCCACTTCCTTCAGCCATGTTTGATATTAAATGGTTTCCAAATGCTTCAGCATTCTGGTCAGCTTAAATTCTGATTTAGTTTTTAATATCTTTCATAAAATCTGGAGTACAAAATGGAAAATAATATTCAGTACATAACATGAGAGAAAAAGGGAAAACATTTTAACCTAATATTTATTAATTCATCTCTCACAAAAGTGATAAAACTTTTTTATCAAAATACTGTGTTCTACATATAAATACTTTCTTTTGTTGTCAGAAAAAAAAATTCCCAACACCTGAAAATTTGAAGAGAAAAGGTACGTTACAGTGAGTCAAAATAAAACCTAAGAAGAAATAAGGACTTACACCCAAACTTTTACTACAGAGGAAATGGTCTCATTTATTATTGTCAGTAATTGTGCATTTTCTCAAAAGCAGAACTCTTAGCAAGTAAATAGTACGAAGGCCAGTTGCATGGTACTTCAAAAAGAAAAAGTATCAATACCCAATACGGTGCCCAGAGGTTTCCAATGTTATGAAGTGGTTAGAAAGGGCATATCACTACAAATCAGAGCAACATAGCTTACTTGTACATCGACAATGTAGTCATCTGCTACTTTATGTTCTTCTGGAGGAACAGGTAAGTTTGAATCCACTTTTCCCAATACTTCAGCATTGACAGGTCCCTCTCTTTCATCCTATATTGCAACAAACAAAAAGGCTAATTGATAAAAAGTACTGTTCCACAAAACAGTCTTGAAGCAATATTAAAGCCCACCTCTTTCTATGCTTTAACCCAAACACTGTCTTGTATGCATTTGACTCTCATTGATTTTCTTTGTTTCCATGTTTATTATCTACCTTCCTGCATTTCCCTCCTTGCCACTATACCTCATAGGTACACTAAAGGAGGTCATGAACCTCATTTGATTTCTTAATAAGCATCCCTATATGTTAGGCACACAGTAAATATTTGATAAATGAAGGAATTCATAGTTCTTTGTGTCATCTCTCTTTTGACACTCATTTTCAAGTTAGGATTTCAGATACCTTTATGTCTTTAAATGTATCTTCTAGAATACAAGTTTCACAAAAGCAAAGTTCACCTTTATCTCTGTTTAAGCCTGTGTAGCATATAATTGATACCTCAATGTTAGCTCAGAAGAGATTAGACCTAAGTCTTATGGATTGTGGGTAAAAGCACAAAATTATACTCTTTTTGGAGAAATATTCAGCAAGTCTTCAAAATTTTAATTGCTCCATCCCAGAAATATAGTCTGCATAACTCAAAAATTTAAATAAGCCACTCTAAATATCATGCCAAAAAACCTCAAGCAATATAATTATGTGTGTTCGCACACACCACACACACACAAATGTACACACAAACACATATACACACACAGCTGAGGCACAATGCAAGTTTGGCAATAAAGAAACATTTAAAAAATCATGATATATCTATATAATGAAATAAAAATGTAGCCATTCAGAAGAATATAGCAATATCAAAAGGTATCTATGAGAGATTATGAGGGGAGAGGGGGAAGTCTATCTGTTGAATATTTGTAACATTTTAATGAAAATAAAAATATTAATTTGTTTGCTACATAATGATATATCTATTCCTAACAGAATGGTCTGAACATTTTCACAAGAAACAGTAAATTATGGTTCCTCTGGGGAAAGGAATAGGATATAAATATTTTATATACAATATAAATTCCTTCTGTATTTTAAAATAAGTACATTAATTGGGGGGCGGGGGAGTCTAGTCAATAGTCACCTTTTATCACTTAAAATGATAAAATAATAAATTAGAGACCATCAGGTTTCTTGGACTTTGTCTATTCATCCCACCCAATTATATAAAACAAACTACAGAGCCACTGATTGCAGACTCTCCCTGTAATCTTCATTTCTAATAGTTTTTAATTAATGAGATGGGTTTCTTTAGAAACCCTGTAACTATTTTATGCATTAAAAATCAAGACAAATCCAGCCGGAGTAGCTCAGTGGTTGAGCTTCGACCCTGCACCAAGAGGTTGCCAGTTCGATTCCTGGTCAGGGCACATGCCCAGGTTGTGGGCCTGATCCCCAGTGGGGGGGCGTGCAGGAGGTGGCCAATTGATGTTCTCCCTCATCAATGTTTCTATCTCTCTCTCCCTCTTACTTCCTCTCTAAAAATCAATGACAGAAAAAAAAAAAGCAAGCCGCTAGTTTCCAGTTCCCTGAATAAGTAGTATCTTTCTCCCTCCTGTAGGACTAAGGATGTTCCAACATTCCAAATATAAACAATAAGAATATCTCAGAGGTAACAATTTCAGAATTACCCAAGTAACTCCTCAGATTATAGAAACAAAAAAATTACAAATCTCCACCAGAAATTATGTCATAGGATTTAAAAAATTATTTCTATTATGAATGTTTTGAGAAAGTCTTAGAACGCTGACACACAGATTACATCTTCAATTTTATTTAAAGTACCTTTTTCTGGAATTGTATATCTTCATTTTCTAGTCTGCAACTGTCATCCTGAGAGTAATATGATGAAGCTGAAGCTGAAGAACTCTCTTTACAACACACATGCCAACTGGGAAGCCTGGAAAACATCCACAAACACCACCAAAAAGAAAAAGAAAAAGATGTTAAGCCAACACATTCCCTATGATGGGCTAGAATCTGAGTCAATAAACACAAGAGTGGTTCCTATCTAATGCCCTTAAGAACTTAATCTCATGATGAAGACAAATTTCCATAAAACAAGGGTTTTTTATTTCATACGCTAGGAAAAACATAAGCTGTTATCAGCATTACAAGTAAGGCATTCTTAATTTCATGAAGGTAAAACAGGAAAGACTTCACAAAAGGAGTGTCTGATGATTATCACACAAGGAACAAAGAAAGCTGTCAAAGAGCTAACTCACCTCAGAAAGCACCAGATTCCAACGATAGTCTACATTCTACCAAATTGTTCAGAACAAATCATTCTAAAGTTACCTAAACTATTTCAAAGCATATTGGGTTTATATGGGAAACAAAATAGTGATTCCTGGTCAAGGACACGTACCTGGGTTGCAGGTTCAATCCCTGACACCGGTCAGGGTTGTGCGGGAGGCAACCAATTGATATTTTTTTCTCCCTCCTTCCCTTTCACTCTAACAAAATCAATGGAGAAATATCCTTAGGTGAGGATTAACAACAACAACAACAACAACAACAACAAAGAATACTGAAGATTTTAATGTGAGGGAACTACATGTCTATGAAACCACAAGAATGTCAACAATATGATACTAGATGAGAGTGGGAAAGGGAATTCCCAGGGTAACTGAAAGAATAATTCTAGATGACAGCTGTACACAAAGACTAGAAGGCAACCAGTCCAAATGGGAGGTTCTCAGAAGCTCCAGGAGAGCCCTCTTTAGGATGAAAAGTGACAGCACACCTCATAGGTCTTTGAAAATGTCCAGTACAGATTTTGGTAAGTGGCACATAGTTTGTAACTAAATACAAAAATAAGAATACTCAGGTCAAATATTAGTTGCAGGAAAAAGGAAACGTAGTAGAGAAAAGGAAAAGTAATCATGTTTTACTATATGGCTCAGCTGTGAATAGCATTTTTAGTCATAGTAATATAAATAATGAATGCTCATCTAAACAAATTATGACAGAACTATATTATTACCAGCATATAGTTAAAAGACTCTTATCATCTACAGTGGCATAATACCTAAAACTGACATTAAAGTAATTATTTCAGAGACAAAGAAGTGCATATAAAATCAATCAGCTAAGAGATGAAACTGGTTTCCTTGAAAAGAGAAAATGGGAAGGAGGGACAGGGAATGGCTTTATTGCAAAAACAAAAATATCTTTTAGAGCCATCTGACTTTTTCATACTATTTTGATAAAAATTAAAACAAAACAAAAAACAAAGAGGGAAAACAGCAAGGTACATAATAAATAATATAAACACACAGTATGCCTACTGTGTGTGCACATCTGCACATATTTATATGTGCATACATTTCTCTGGAAGAATTAAATAGTAAAAAATAAAAAGCATCACCTTGGTTGCATCCACTAAGGGGAACTGGAAGCCTGGATTGACAAGGGCAACAGAAGGATATTTTTCACTCTGGAATACTCTATGTCTTTTGAATTCTGCCTATTAAAAACTTCATATAGATATATCATTATTCATTAAATATTTCTTTTCTTTCCTTTTTTTTTGGTTAATCCTCACCCAAGGATTTTTTTCCATTGATTTTTCAGATAGAGTGGAAGGGAGAGAGGGAGAGAAACATTGATGTGAGAGAGAAACATCAACTGGCTGCCTCCCGCACGACCTCAACTGGGGCTGGGGATTGAACCAGCAACCCTTTGGTCCATGGGCCAACACTCTAACTGCTGAGCCAAACTGGTCAGTGCCATTAACTATTTTAGTGACATTCTTTTGCACTGTTTCTTAGCTGTGTGTGTGTGTGTGTGTGTGTGTGTCAGCATGCATGTGTGCTTGCAGGTGCATTTGTGTGTGGGTGTATATATATACATATAAATATTTGGGAGAGCAAAAAGTTTTAGATAATGTATCCAAAACTGTGGGTACTGGAATTTTGGCGATTATATCCCTTATCTTCTCTATCCCTTTTTATACTTTCTAAATTTCTAGCATAAGCATGTATTAGTTTTATCACCAAGAACTCTGCATGTGTGTATGTGTGTAAGTCCTAATATCCAGTGCCAGCAAACAGTAAATCTCCTTGTTTTTACTATGATCCTTGTTTTTACTATTATAGATTAAAATGCCATTACCCTCAATTTTGAGTTTTTTGGAAATAAGCATTTGAATCAGTGGACCAGTAGAGGGACTGCATGAACATAATACAATCATTTGAGGACCTAAATAGAACAAAAAGCAGAAGAAGAAAGAATTTGTCTTTTGCTTTTCCTGCCTCATTGTTTGAGCTAGGGCATCTCATGTACCTTATTTTAAAAAATACTTTATTAATTAAAACAACAATGAGGTATCACCTCACACCTGTCAGAATGGCCGCCATCAACAAATCATCAAACAACAAGTGTTGGCGAGGGTGTGGAGAAAAGGGAACTCTAATACACTGCTGGTGGGAATGCAGACTGGTGCAGCCGCTATGGAAAACAATATGGTGCTACCTCAAAAATTAAAAATTGAACTTCCATTTGACCCAGTGATCCCACTGCTGGGAATATACCCTAAGAAGCCTGAAACACCAATCAGGAAGAATATATGTACCCCCATGTTCATAGCAGCACTATTTACAATAGCTAAGATCTGGAAACAGCCCAAGTGTCCACCAGTAGACGAATGGATCAAAAAGCTGTGGTACATATACACAATGGAGTACTATGCAGCGGTAAGAAAGAAAGATCTCTTATCCTTTGAGACGACATGGAGGGACCTGGAAAGTATTATCCTAAGTGAAAGAAGCCAAGCAGAAAAAGACAAATACCACATGATCTCACTTATATACGGAATATAATGAACATAACAGTCTGAGGAATACAGTAGACCCAGACACATGGAAGTAGGGCACAGACTGACATCCCTCAGAAGAGGGGATGGGGGGTGGGGGGGTGGGAAGAGATAAACCACAGAACTTATATGCATGTATGCATGACCAATGGACATGGACAACTAAGCCGGGGACAGGGTGGAGGGGGTGGGGTGGGGGGTGCCAATGGGGTAAAAAGGTAAAATATCTGTAACAAAAAAATAAATAAAAATTCATAAAAAATAAAAAAATAAAAAAAAAAAAAATAAAAAAAAATAAAATAAAATAAAATAAAATAAAATAAAAAATAATAAAAATAAAAAAAAAAAAATAAAAAAAAAAATAAAAAATACTTTATTGCTAAAACAATGATAAACATCATCTGAGCCTTCAGTGAGTCATGATATTTTTGCTGGTGGAAGGTTTTGCCTTGGTGTTGATGGATGCTGACTGCTCAGGGTGGCAGCTGCTGAACTTTGGGGTGGCTGTGGCAATTTCTTACCTAATGGGTAGCAGACAGCGTATTACATACAGAGAGCCTTGTTAGAAAATGTTATACGTAATTTAAAAATTTGAGTAAACTTATATTGAGAAAACATTAAAAAGTAACAATTTTAATTAAGTAAACAAAATTAAATTTAATTGAAAAACATTGTCACAAAGAGAGAAATGTATTATCTACTGGTAAAAAGATGTGATGATTATAAATACATATGCACCTAACACAATCACTTCAAAATATGTAAACTACTGACAAAGCTAAAGGTGGAAGAAAATAGTAAAAAATGATGGCTGTCTATTTTAAATGATGTCTTATAAAATAACAGATGGACAAAATGTAAGGAAACATGAGATTTATATTATAAATAAGAAACAAGCTTGATCAAATGTACAGAATTTTACAACAAATACAAATTAACATTCTTTTCAAACATACATGAAATATTTCCGAAGTACTGACCACATACTAAAGCTTCAAAAGAAGACTCAAATTCCAAAGATTCAACATCTAGTAAACTATACTCTCCAACCACATACCAACAAAATTTGAAATAGATAGCTAATAACGTTCTAAGCCTGGCAAAAAATTATACAGCAGAGTAATCCTTCAGTTAGAGGAAACAATAAGGAACATTATGAAATATCACACCAGGAGACTTACAGGTCAAAATTGGTGGGATGCAGATAAAAGAACCACAGACAAACTATGCTTTTGAAGGCAATTGAAGACAAACACTGAAAAGAAAGACCTAATCTTTCAACTCTCAAAGATAAAAGACACACTGTAAATCCAAAGAAAAAAGGAAGGCTAAAAGGGCAGAAATCACTGACATAGAGAACAAAAGAAGGCAAAGAAGATTAAGAAAACCAAAAGTGGGTCCTTTGAAGAAAATATCAGAAAGATCAACTCTGGCAAAACCAACTAAGGAGGGTTGCTGATGTGAATTAAACTATGGTGTAAAAACACGAAGTAACTACAGACAAAACATATTTTTAAATTATAAAATATTATAAACTATATATAAACTATATATTTTAAACTATATATTTTAAACTATATATATTATAAACTACATATTTTAAAACTTAGGAAAAGAAATAGATGTTTCTAGGAAAGTAGCAAAATTGGCACAAGTATACAAAACTTGGAATAAATTAATGATAATTAAAGAAACTTGAGTGGCTTAACACCACAAAGAGAAGGGGGAAATTCCAATCCAGGTTTTTTGTTTTTGTTTCATTTATTTGGAAATCATTTCAAACTTTCAGAAGAATTGTCAGTATAGTACAAAGAACATTCACAAACTCTTTACCCATATCAATCTGTTGTTAACATTTTACCCATTTGTTCCATCATTTGCCATTTGCTCATGACATACACGCTCACCCCACCCTTTCTCCATGTAATTTATTTCTAAATATATTAGTATCTATTTCCACAGAATGAGGGTATTTATTCTCTTACACAAACACAGCAGTGATTAACTTCAGTAAATGTTACACTAACAATGCTTTATAGGCTGTATTCGATTTTGTCACTTAGCATCATAATGCCCTTATAGCA